AGTGTGCCCCAAGAGGTGGTACACACAGAAGTGAGGGGGTTTTCCCTTCCCCTTAAACAGTTGCCTTAATGATTGTATGTAGTTCAGAAAACACAGGAGTCACTCTGAAACACAATCCTTTATTAAGTCAGCAATCCTTTATTTCTGAAATGGAAAGACACACGATTCTCTGAGATAGTTACATCTAAACTCACTCCCTGGCCCTGTTGCTGATTGCTGGCACTGTCCTCTCCCTGATAGTGGCTGGCTGAACCAGTCAACCACAGTGTTCATTCACCCTCTCACTCATTCATTTCTGCACCGATATGTACATACCAGGTACCTCCTGCAGACCAGCAAGCGGGTCAGAGGGCAGGAAAGCTAACATGGAGGCAGACCTAGGCTTGGGGAGTGAGAAGGATGGAGGGAAGTGGACAGATGCGAGGAGGTGACAGACTCCATGGGCATGTCCATTGGGACACCAGGCATGGCAACATTTAGACCAGCTCAAGGAGGGAACAGAATCCCCCAGGACCACAAAGCTCTCATTATAGAGTTGGCCAGGTACTGCGTGGTGTCTTTAGGCCCCTGAAGGCCCTGCCAGAGGCTTCCCATCAGCTGCAGCTGCCCTGGACAGCTCCTCAGCCTCTGTCTGCTTCCTGTTGTGGCTCCCTTGGGCCTTGGGGCTATTGTGATCCTGAGAGAGCAACCCCTCCCAAGTCCAGTCCCAATGACTGTGTAACACAAACCACGTGAGGCCCAGCCTGTTTGCCCTGGATGGTGTGACTTGCTTCCCTCTGTCTCAGATGCTTGTGATGTGTGGCTTCATGTGCTCCCTCTCTCTCCCAACCCAGAACTGACTGGGCTCCAGCTCTGTCCTCAGTTTCAGCAAGCCCTCGCTCCGCACACCACTGCTGCCATTAGTTGGGACTAAGTGGGTTTTCCTGTTACTGAGGATAATATCCGTGGTTGGACATTGCCAGGAATAGTGTTGGCCCTCAGCTGTGGACAGCCTGGGTCTGAGGGTCCACATAGAACCCCTCGAAAGCCTACTTCAAGGCCTTCGTGTGCCCAGTGTGGCAGCTCTCTGCACAGAAGCAGCTTGTGGTCAGGGTACCTGGTCCCAGAAAGGCCAAAAGCATAAGAATGCTCAGGCCTCTAACTGCAGTTTACATCCATGGAGTGATGAGAACACAGAACAAAGCTGGATGTGGCTATTATGGTAGCCACTGTCACATGAATCTATTTAAATACATATTTTAATTAATTGAAATTAAATAAAAATTTAAAATCCAGTTCCTCAGTTGTAGAAGTCACTTTTAAAGTGTTCAGTAATTCCTGGGGTAGTGGCTACCATGTTGCACAGTGCAGATAGCACATTTCCGTCTGTGTTAGTCAGCCTTCTGCTACTCTGACAATTAACGTAAAAGGAAGAGAGGTTTATTTTGGCTATGGTTTCGAGAGTTTCAGTTCATGGTCTTGGGCTTGTGATGACACAGTACGTCACAGTGGGAAGCATGTGGCAGAAGAGACCTGGTCACTTCATGTTGGCCAGGAAGCAAAGAGAGAAGAGAAGCAGGGTCCCAATGTCTCTTCCAGAGGCGTGTCTCCAGTGATCTAACCTCCTCCCCCGAGGTCCCAATTCCACCACAAGCTTCCAGTCAAGCCTTTAAAAACTTCTGGCATGCTGGAAACATGGCTCAAGTCAAGCACCTGCCTACCAAGCGTGGGGGCCTAAGTTCAAACCCTGCTACTGCAAAAAAAAAAAAAAATTCTGACATGCTATAATAAGAATGGACCTTGAAGACATTAAATGAAATAAACAGTCACAAAAGGACAGTGTCTGATTCCACCCAGAATAAACAAACTCATAGAGACAGAAAGTAGAGTGGTGGCACCAGGAGGTAGATGAGCTGTCATTTCAGGGTGTGGATTTTCCGTTCTGGAAGGTGAGGGGACTCTGGAGACGGACGGTGAAGACAATTGCACACAGTGTCAACGTGTCTAGTGCCACTGAGCTGTGCACTCAGACATGCTGAAATGGTGCATTTCAGGTTGTGTGTGCTTAACACAATTTTTAAAAACCACACAACCTCCCAGACTGCTCTAAGTTATCCCAAATAAGTTTCAAAGTAACCTATTCAATATGGCAGAGTGCAACAAAGGGGATTTCTCTTGAGCACGGCCCCCTTTCACGCAGCCCCTCACAGAGCAGGCTGTGTTCTTCAGTCCAGAGATGGTCCCACAGTCTTGGTGGAGAGGTGTCTGGGCAAGGGCACACAGATAGCTACAGGAAGTGTCCAGATTTCATCCAGGGCTGTCTGGTTCCCACGGGGTTATATCTGTGGTTAGACTGCAGCGCACAAACTCAGATATGCTGGCTTAAACAAATAAATAACACCAGGGAGACACGTCAGCTCTCTGGGCAGAACAAAGAGTCAAGGGGCAACTTCCTCACTGTTGGAGGACTGAAAACACAGAGCTGAGTGGACACTGAGAGGGGGACTCAAAACGCCAGGGAATAGAGGAGTCCTGTTAGTGAGGACAGATCTGCATTGTGCATTATCTAGAAAAGTTTAGGCTGACTTTGGACACTCTGAGGCTGCCTGACGAGTGTCGTGGGGAGAGAGAACGGGATACAGACAAGGGAGCTTGGACTGGCTAACCTGCTACTTTTCGGTGTGACCTCAGGCAAACCCACTGCTCTCTGCTCCCCAGTTTTCTCATCTGCACCTTGGGGATCAGAGTATTTGTTTCACAGTTTCTGTAAAGTTCAGATGAGATTGTGTGAGAGGGCTTGGTGACCCTCGGCTGCCATGTGAGGTTGGTAGCGATTACTAATTACTGCTTAGTGTTAACAAAGACAGGGTTATTTATCAAGCTTACTTAGCAGCCATCTCTTCAAGCTGCCTCCCCAAATTCTCTCCATTGTACTGCATTGTACTTGAGCCATTTTTTAATGAATAATCTTTATTGTGAGAGTAGTTTCAGGTTCACAGCAAAACTGACTGGAGAGTACCGAGCTTGCCCACATGGGCCTGTCCTCTCTACACAACCCCCCACTCCACTATCAACATCTGGTTCTGCCCATTTTTATTGTGTGCCTACTGTGTGCTGGTGCAGAAGACCTCTAAGATTCAAAAAAGAAGGCCCACCTTTTCCAGGGAGGCTCACAGTGGCCTCACTGACCACTGAAGGACAGTGGACCCAGTACTTCCCATGACCATGCAGAACAGAGTGAAGCCAAAGACAGAAAGCCACAAATACAGCCATGGATAATGAGACTTGGGGTGTGACTCAGTGGTAGCATGCTGGCCTGGCATGAGCAAGGCCTTGGGTTCCACTCCCAGCACTACAGAAAAAAAACAAAATCCATGACCCAGGATTTGGGGGCAAGCCTGTGCACCCCAGCTGCACTGAGGCTGGCCACCTTCCTAAGGGGTGTCACATAAAACAGCACTGAGGAAGCAGGGAGCTGCAGCCTGACAAAGTATTCCTCTCCTTCCTTTCTAAGTGTCTCCCTGGCATCCGAAGGCTGGGGTGACATGGTGACAAAGCAGCATGTGAGCTGCGGGCAGCCGCCCTGATGCATTGCTGGCTGCAGTCCCCGGGCAGATTCCTTCACTTCTTGGCCTTGGATTTCCTGGATACAAAGGTCCGTGTTTCAGGGTGTTCTGAGGATTTCAGGACAGAATGTTTGTAGAGAAGCTAGTGCATGCCTGGCTCAATAAATGTATTTCTCTTGTCTTCCACTTAGGGAATTATTCTCTGTCCTACAAAATAGTTGTGCTCCTTTCTCCTGGACTTTCCCCAGCATCTTTTGTTCTTCAGAGGGGCAGATCAGGAGAATCAGGGTGGCTTTCTCCTTTCTCCTTTTCATATATCAGCCATTGCTTTGACAGGCTCAGGACTCCTTCCCTATCTGCTTGAACTCCTGGCCAGTGTTCTAGTCAGGACAGGTCAGGATCCACTTCTGCAACAGTCACCGTGCCAGACAGTGAGGAGGTCTTGAATCTCACTCGGGCAGTATGGCCATCGTGGTTGTTGGAGGCTCTGGCTCTTGCCCCGGACTCCACCTGGTAGAGAAGCCATTGTCTGGAGTGACCCAGTCCCCACTGCAGCACGGGATGGGGATCAGTAAACCATGTGCCAGTCAGAAATGTCCACTGAAGATCACGTATCTGAATTAGCCCACTTCTGGGGCTGCAGGATGTGCAAATCTACCCTGGACTCAGGAGCACCGGAAGTGTTTCATGACAGCATCAATGACCACCTCAGCACAGCTTTAACCCATCAAGTAATGCCGCCAGCTGCTATCCTTATGGCAGATGTAAAGATGAGACCCTGGAAGGTTATGTCACTCCTTCAAAATCACACAGGGAGTAAGTTGCAGGTCCTTGTGATATTTCACATTAATTCCTTAAAATGTCAAACTGCTACGAAAGGTTTCAGTTGTCATAGTCTACCCCATACCTCCTCTGCCCCCCAGCAACCTACTCTCCCTCTCTGGTGGCGCCTCCTACACTCCCTTGTAATTATCTCGACACAATGAGACTTTTCATTGCTGCACCCCATGCACCAATTGTGGAGCCAGGCACTGAGCTGTCTGCTGAACCAATCTGGGGGCTTCTGAGTGGGGCAGGGGACTAGACTGACGTCATAGCATAGACCCTTAACTCTCCTGTCAGTTCTTGGGAAGCAGGACGACCTGCTGTCCACAAAGCCCTGGTTGCCTTGGGGCTTTGTTTGCATTTCAAGTCCTATGGCCAAAACCCTCCAGGAAAACCAAGATTAGTCTTCAGAGCTCTTGCAACTCTGAGCCTTCACAGTCTGCAGCTCTGGATAGAAAGAATTGTTTTCATGGGGGTCCTAGATCCAGTTGAAATTGCCTTCCCCAGTACTTAAGGGTTCTGGAAAGCTGGAAAAAGTGGACTTTTTATATATCAAATCACTTATTTCCTTTCAATGTACTCGTTATACTGTGAAAGGTTTTCATTTTTGGTATTCCCACCCCCCTTCAGATGCAGATGTTGGACAAGTTTCCCATGGAAGGAGGACAGAAGGACCCCAAACAGCGGATCATCCCCTTCCTGCCAGGTGGGTGCCATGCTCACTCTCAGAGGGGGCTCTGAGAACTGCAGGACAGCAACCAGGTCCCGGAACAGTTTACAAGCTCATCCTCCTTCATCAGGGAGCACTGTCCCCTAACCAGAATCTCAGTCATGGGCAGAGCTTTGGAGTTCTTTTCTACACCATTTGCTAGCTGTGTGGCCCTGGGCAAGGCCCTTTGCATCTGGGGTGCCCTGCCATTCCCAGCTCCAAAATGGAGCTCAGAAGGCTTTGGCCATGAGCAGCTTCTATTATTACACCTACTGAATTAGTTTTCTTTACCTGCCTCACAATTTACCAGCACTCATTTACACCCTCACGGTTCTGTGGCTCAGTAAGTAGTTCAGGGTCACTCCAGTGGGCTGTCTGTGTAGAGCCTCAGGAGGCCAAGTGAAGGTGACACCTGGGCCCAGCTTTTACCTGGAGGTTCTATGGAAGAGGCCACAGTCAACCCTCATTCATATTGTGGCAGAACTCATCTCCCTGCAGCTATAAGACTGAGGTCCTGCCAGGCACCCGTGGCTCATGCCTGTAATCCTAGTTACTCAGGAGACAGAGATTGGGAGGATCCTGGTTCAAAACCAGCCAGGCAAATAGCTCACAAGACCCTATCTCAAAAAAAAAAAAAAAAATCCATCACAAAAAAAAAGGGGGCTAGTGCAGTGGCTCAAGGTGTAGGCCCTGAGTTCAAACCCCAGAACCACACACACACACACACACACACAAAGACAGGTCCTTGGTTACTCGCTGACTCTCAGCCAGGGTCCCTCTCAGTGTCTGGAAGTTGCCAGGATAATGTCCCTCTCAGAAGGAGAATGGGAGCCGTGTGGCATCTCACCGTACACACAGGGCTTGAGGATTCGGGCAGGACATCATTGGGAGTCACTGTAGAAGTTCTGCCTGCCTCCGAGGTCTGTTCTGCGTGCCAGGTTTCTCACCAGCTGGGATGGAGGCAATGCAGTGTTGGCTAATCTCAGTTATCAAGGCATTCAGGGCCTTGAAGACACACCAAAAATATCAAGCCTTCAGATGAAGCCGGGGGCCGTGGCTCAAGCCTGAAATCCTACCTACTTGAGAGGCTGAAATCAGGAGGACTGTGGTTCAAGACTGGCCTGGGCAAAGACTTATGTGGCCCCATCTCAACTAGTAAGCCAGGCATGGTGGCACATGCATGAAAGCATACAATAGGAGGGTGTGGTCCTGGCTGGCCTAGGCAAAAAGATCCTATCTCCAAAATAACCAGAGCACAAAAGCTGGAGGTGTGGCTCAGGCAGTAGAGTGCCTGCATAGTCAGCTTATGGCCCTGAGTTCAAATCCCAGTACCACCAAAAAGAAAGATTTCAGGTGGAAAAGAGGAATTACCCAGACAAGACCTCTTGACTCAAGTCCTAATAGCTACCATTGATGGCTATTATGGGATACTGTGGGCAAGTGGTTTCCATGAGTTACCTCATTTAGTCCCCAGCAACCCTACAGGTAGGCATCACTGTGAGCATCTCACAGATGAGAAAACTGCTTACAGTGCACACATGGCAGAACTGGGATTCAAGGACAGGTATGGCTGGATCCACAAAGCACACCTGGAATCCCTGCGATTCCTGGCAACCACCCCCACCCCATCTTCACCTCTTTTGTCTTGCGTGATGACTTAAGCCTGTTCAGGTTTACTTTTCCACTTGAAAGTCGGAGATAATAATGCTGCTTAAACAATGAAAGCACTGTGAGGTTATGTAAGTGCCTGGAGGTACCCAAGGGCCACCCAGTACTCACTATCATCATTTTTATATACAGACGATTGGCACACTGACAGTCACCCTAAGTTACAGCTATTTACAGCTGGAAGAGCCTTTTACATCTTCTCCCTTTTTCAGACAAGGAAATAGTCCCCAGATCACATAGGTGCCCATTCCCCCATCCCCCAGTCCAGGACCTCAGTGGGCTCCTCCACTTCTACCCTTGGGCAGACTCTGATACGGGTAGATAACGTCTGCCAGGCCCCCTCCACCGGGCGAATCCTTGCTTGGAAAAGCTAGCACTGTTAGTCCTTCTGCTGAGTCAGTACCCAACCACGCTGGAATGTCTTCCCACAGGAAAAAACCCCGCGCTGTAGCCACCGCACATCAGGCCTGAGAAGCTCATGCTTTGGAGTTACATATTCAACCCCCGACTTTCAGCAAGTGACATCTCCCCTGTGAACCCCAGTTTCCACATTTGTAAAATGGGACAGTAACCTCTTCCTCATAAGGTTCAATCCCTGGCACAGAGTAGGTTCTCAGTAAAGGCAGAAATAGGACCAGGACATCCCTTTGGGGTTTCTTGGTTTCATATGTAGGGCTCATCCTTGAAGGATCAAGAAATTAAGTGATATTCACTTAAATTAGGCTCTACACATAGGTTTTTCCTTAGAGAAAGAATGGAGAGCAAGTTACAGCTTTTTTTCTGGATGAAAGGCCAAACCGCTCTGGAAAAGTTTCCCAAGACAGAGAACTTGAGCCCGACCCTCTCCCAAACTCTTAAAAGCTTTTGTGGTTACGTAATCCTTTTCCACTCAAGAATTAATGAAGATGCTGTTCTCAGGGACTTGGCCCCTTTGTCACTCCTCCAGGCACCCAGTGCAAGCTTGCAGAGATCCCCTGCACCCCAGGACCCCGACCAGTCCTTCTGAGCCCACCTCTCAGTCTTCCCAGAGGCCGAGCTCAAGGGCAGAGGGGCTGTGGTCAGTTTTCTGCCCAGTCTGCCTCGTCAGCAGGACAAAGGCGAGTCTCATGTTAGCACAAAGGCAGGGGGAGGGGACCAGCCTGTGCAACTTTCCATCCCAGCAGGAGCTGGGGAGGCCAACTTGGCAGAGGAGGCAGCTTGAAAAATAAGAATTACAGTTTGGCCTTCCTCCACTGTGGAAAACAAAAGTCAACCCATTCCCACCATAGCTGTTCTCTCTGAACACCCTTTCCTCGCCAGCGTGGCGACAGGCTTACCCTCCTTCCCAAGGCTTGCAAGGAAGCTTCTTCCTGGCACAGACCCGCGACCAGGCCCTTCCGCCTCTCACCAGGAGGCACTGCCAGAAGCTGCATTGTGCCCTGCCTGAGCATAACCCTGTCCTGCTGCGGACAGATGACCCACTAGAGGCTGGAGAAGGAATTAGTGTGCTCTTGACTAGAGTGTCACACAGTGTCAATGAGACTGCTTTGGGAAAATAAAAAGTAATTACTCCCATTTCACAGAGGAGCAGACTGAGGCTCTGAAAGGTGACATTGCTCCCCAAGGCAGCTCCTGGATAGGCCTGTGGCATCTCCAGTAGGCATCTTCCTGCCGCCTTTGCTGGCCAGGCCCCAGACATGTGCTCAGAGATTCCCTGTCACATCAAAGCCACACAAGGAGAGGACTGACTGACACATTTGTCCTTCTGTCACACCCCCAGGAAATACTGACAGCACCTGAGTTTTCTGTCCTCTTCCGGTCCCCGGCTTGAGTGAACCCTCAGCACCGGGCTCTGTAGCCAAGTGTTGACTTCAGGACAAGTCTGAGCCTGTGCTAGCCCCTTGCCAATTGTAAATATTTAGAGCCTGTTGTCAGCCTTCACAGTAAGGCAGCCTGTATACTGACCTTCCACCTTCCCCTGACCTACAGAAGGGGAATTGTACCAAAATGGGACCAGGCCATTTTGGGTTAGGGAGTCCACCACACTGAGCTGTAGGCACGAGGGCAGAGATGTGCTGCACAGGATGTCTCTTTAGACACACAGTCCTTATTTTTCCTGAGGCGGGGGGCACCCCATGGGTTTCCACGAGGGCCAGTGCAAACAGGAAATGGTGGGTGTCTGATTGTCGCCATGAGTGGGGACGGGAAGGCTACCAGCTTTGTCTGGATTTGGACCAGGGTGGTGAACACCCTGCAGGAGAGGACACAGCCCCACCCAGAAGGTCAGCAGGCCTTTCCATGTTGGGGGCCCCCCAGCACCAGCAGAAAGGCTCCCACAGAGACTGCACCCACTGAGCGAGTGAAGAAGGATTACGATCCTGGCCTCTGGGGAAACCAGGCTGTAAACTCTCCCCTCTCCACATAGTTTGTGGGGGGGGGATTCATTGTAAATGACATTTTTTTCTAGCTGTAGAAGCAATGCATGTTTATGGCAGACACTTTGAGAAAAGTATAAAGAAGAAAACAAAAATTCTGTCTCCCACCCCTCAGAAGACAAGCACTTTGAGTCCTTTGTGCACTGTCTTTTAGATTTTTCTTTCCAAACAAGCATGGGTGTACCAGAAAGGCACAGAACGTACAGGAGCTTGGAGGTTTGGGAGACCTGAATGAGGAAAAGGAGCCTGAGCTGTTAGGCGAGGCTGACCTGAGTGTGGCTCGCAGTCTGAGAGACCACCTCATCGAAACTTTTCCCTGGAAGCCAGGCGCAGAGACAAGTGCCTCATGCTGTCACTTATAGGTGCAATCTCAGAAGTAGAGAGAATGTGGTTACCAGAGAGGATGGGTGACAGGCGCAGTGCAGGAGGGTAGGAGGAATGGGTAGCGTAACAGTGGGTGGCCACGGTTCATCACAATTTCGAGGTAGCTGTGGGAAGGATTAGAATGATAAGTGTCCGATGTGACTGTGTATGTGTATTAAAAACATCGCCCTGTCCCCTATCAGTATGTTCAGTCACTTTGTGTCTGTTAAAAAGATACGGTTTAAGTTTATTCATATATTCGAAAACATTTTTAAAACATCAGCTCACTCTCCAAGCCCTAGTGCTGAGCTGTGGTGACAGCTTTGGGGACCACACATGAGGTTTTCTAAGCAGGGGATTGATGGAGCCACCCCCCTCCCCGGTGGCCAAGTGTTGTCACTACTGCCTTCCAGTGCTGCCTGTGCTCTCTTCTCCTGCAGGCAAAATCCTCTTCCGGCGAAGTCACATCCGGGATGTGGCCGTCAAACGCCTGATACCGATCGATGAGTACTGCAAGGTAAGGCGAGAAGACAACACGGGCTTCCTGGGCTCCATTTTGTGCTCCTTTCTGGCTGCAAGGTGCTCATTGTGAACAGCCATCCACGGTCCATCCCTCACTGCACGCACAATGATCAGGAATGGTTTGCCATCTTTTCTCTTGGTGAGCCGAATTGACACCACCCCGCGTGTGTTCTTGTCTGTTGCTTTTTTCCTTTCACCGTACTATTGCAACCGAAGAATCCCGCATGCTATTAAGCAATCCTCGTGAGCCCACTCTCAATGGCTGTGCAGTGTTCCATTGTGCGTGAATGTTCAGAAGTCACTCAGCCAAGACCGCTGTTGATGGGGCAGCTGGCTTCCTACCGAAATAGCAAGTTAATTTTAAATAGAGGGAATAGCAAGAGATGCCCTAAAAATGGGTCAGTGATTGACCTCCACCTTGGATCAGGAACAACGCACCTCCTCTGTCCCACATTTCACTGAGGGGGCTCCTGGCGTAAGCTCACAAGGAAGAGAAAGAACAGGCATCAGATTGGAAAGGAAAGAGTATAGTCACTTCCACCCACAGAGGTGAAAGTCGTCGAGGGCTACAAGACACTTGAGATCATACATAGACTGGTCAGATCACAGGACTTGAGATCGTCTGCAAAAATCACTGTGTTCCTACATTCTAAGCACAAATAGTCCAGAAGTGGAATTACGAAACAGTTCCTCTCACAATGACATCAAAAAGAATAAAATACTTAGAAGTAAATTTAACAAAAGAAGAGCAGGGTTGGTACGCTGAATCTGCAAAGCATTTCCAAGAGAAGTCAGAGCAGACCTAAATTAAAGGCGACATTCCTTACTCAGGGACCAGAATGCTCAGAGGTGTTAAATCAGCAGTTCTCCCCAAACCGACTTCTATCTTGAATGCCATCTGTATTGAAACCTTAGGAAGCATTTTTGTGAGACTGACAAGCTGACCCCAAAGTGTGTGTGGAAATGTGAAGGACCTCAAATAATGAAAACACTTTTGAGAAAGAAGAACACACTTCAATAAGCCATGCTGGCCATTTCTTAAACCTCCTTCAAAGCTGCAGAATCAAGACCACGTGGCACTGACATAAGGACTCACAGATAGATCAGTGCTCAGCTCTGAGAGCCCGGAAACAAACTCTCACCAAGGTTTGAGTTAACTGGCATCCAGCAGAGGTGCCAAGACAGCCAAGGGGAAAGGATGGTCTTTTTATACAGTTGGATATCAGTGTTGCTCTAGTTTATCACAGACAGGGGGACTTAGGTGACAGAAGTCTATTTTCTCACAGTCCAAGCTAGCTGGCTTTCTGAGGCCTCTCCTTGGCTTTCAATTGCTGTCCTCTCCCTGGACTCTGCATGACCTAAGTGTGTCTGTCTCTTCTTATAGGGCATCATTCCTACTGGATGAAGACCCATAATCCAATAACTTCTTTTAGCCTTAAATTACTTCTTTAAAGACCCTGTCTCCAAATATAGAGGCACTGGGGGGTTGGGAATTAATATATGAATTTGGGGTGAATGGAAAACACAATTGAGTCCATATCAGTTATAAACATGCCCAAAAACATGAAATTGAACCCTTCTCTCATACCATGTACAAAAACCAATTCAAGAGACCTTAATGTAAGAGCTGAAACTATAAAACCACTAGAAGAAAACATGAGAACACCTTGGATTAGGCAAAGAACTTTTTGATATGACACCAAAAATATGAGCCCTATGTTTTATCATTGCTGTGATCAAATATCTGAGAAAACCAGCTTAACAGGAAGAAAGAATTGATTTGGGTTCAGGGTTTGAAAAGTTTCAGTCCATCATGGTGGGGAGGGTGTGGCAGAGCAGAGCAATTCACATCATGGCTGCCAGAAAGAAGGGGAGTGAGGATAGGACAAGACACAGCCCCCCCAGACATGTCCCCCGTGACCCACTTTCTCCAGCTGAGCTCTACCTCCTAAAATTTCTAGAACCTCCCCCAAACAGCACCACTAGCTGGGAACCAGCCCTTCAATTCAGGAGTCGTTTTAGGAGACACTTTATATTCAAACCCTAAAAGAAAATTTGATAAAATTGGATTTTGATAAATCTACTTACAAACTTCTCCGTTTTTAAAGATACCATTAAGCTAATGAAAAGACATACCACAGACTGGGTGAAAATATTTGTAAATTAATTATCTGAAAATGGACTTGTATTGAGAATACATAAAGAATCTTACAACTGAATAAAAAAAAAACCCGATTTTAAAATGGGGAAACCACTTCAATGGTGATTTCACCCAAGAAGACAAATAAGTGACAGATAAGATGTCTGATGGCATTAATGATGAGGGAGATGCAACTTGAAACTGGTGACTTACTCAGCTTAGAGTGTCTGCAATCGCCAAGGCAGACCATCGTGCTGAGTGCAGGTGAGGTTTTGGGGAAACTGGAGCCCTTGTCTGGTGGGATGTAAGGTGGGAAGCCACTCTGGAAAACAGTTGAGCAGCTTCTTCCCAAGTTAAACTTACACTGGGTGTGGTGACACACATCTGTAACCCCAGCACTTGGGAGGATGAGACGGGAGGATTGCATGTTGGAGGCCAGACTGGGCTACACAGCAAGACTCTGTCTCAAAAGAAAAAGAAAAATTCAAGAGCATTGGAAACTTCCATCATATGAAGACTTGGGTGTAAATGCCCATCGCAGGATTAACTCACAGTAGTCACAGACTAGAAATGAGCTCCACATCCCTCGTTGTGGATGGATACAGAAAATGCTGGTTTCTGGACAGTAGACATATCTAGCAGTGTAAAGCAACTGAACACCATCAATGCTGCCACCCGGGTGAGTTGCAGAAACACAGTGCTAAGTTCAGGAAGCCAGCTGTGTCACACTTCATTACCCCATTTGTGGGGAATGTGCAGGAAAGGCATATCTGTGGGGACAGAAAGCAGAGGAGTGGACCCTGGGCCTGGGGCAGTAGACGTGCAGATGGACTGCAAACTAGATTGTGGGAAAATTTGAGATACTGGAAAAGCTCTAAAACTGACACAGCGATGATAGCACAGCTGTATAATTCACTAAATATCATTGACCTGTGTGCTTATAATGAGTAAGTTTTATGGTATGTAAATCATACTGCAATAAATCTGTGATGAATTTTCAGTGGAAGGGGCCAGCATCTCTCTTGCAGGAGACTTTCAGGAATTGCAGAAAACCATGTCTGCCCTTTGGAAGACATGGTCTCATTTCATTCCTCCAGCAACTTTGAGAAGTAGATTTCATTATTCCCACTGGCTAGATGCGGAAATGAAGTTCCACACTTACTCGCAATAATGATCTTGAAGACTTCAGGGGGTGAACCTAGACTTCTTACACTCTGCACTCATATGCCACTTATGGCCTCTCTACAAAAGTAGAAATGCAAGAAGTTGATGTATTCTAGCATGTATTTTAGGGCAAAGCTGTGGTTTGGATATGGTTTGAGTGTGTAACCCAAAGGTTCATGTCCGTGTCCTGGAAACTTGACCCCAGTGTGGCTGTGTCGAGGTTTGGAATCTTTGAGAGGTGCACGGTAATCAGGCCATGGGGCATCTCTCTCGGAAGGAATAATGCTGATGTCTGAGGGAGTTAGTGAGGAAGCAAGGCCACCAAGGCACTTGGCTCCTTCTGCAGGTGGCAGTTTCCTTCTATTTCATGCTGCCATGCAGCCAGGAGGCTCTTGCCAGGATCCCAGCACCAGGCTCTTTGGAGCCACCAGAATCAGGAGCCAAATAACCCTCTTCACTGTATAAAGTACCTGGAGTATTTTGTTATACCTTAGAAAGCAGGGTAATAACAAGCATATGAACTCAGGCTCCTCTCTCCTTAAGAAGGGATGGGGGAGGAAGCAGGGCTAATCCTTCAGGCACAGGGACACCACTACTGCCTTACAACTCTCAGGAAAATTTACCTCTTCTCTTTGACCCTTTCCAGCCCTCCAAAGCTTAAACTTTCCATTCTGGACACAGTGTTCCTTTGTCCAGGCCACCTTGCCCAGATGCTGTTGTCCCTCAGCCCAAATCACCTTATCCTGAAAATCCTCGTCCTCCCTGGCCAGACTGTCCTCATGCCCAGGGCTCTTCCCAACATGTCCACATTTGGCTTTGAGAAGGAATCTTAAATCCTGTGGCAATGAGTGATAGCAGCAGCTGCCTGCAGCTGCCTGATGCTGGGATGATGCAGAGATCATGAATTCATCGGATTAACCCCAGGGAAGAAAGTGTTGATGTTACCCAAGCCACGTGGAAGTTACCACCCCTGCTTTAATGAGTCAGAAGAAACAGAGATGTTTTTTAATTTTCGTTGGCCAGATTCCTGGGGCTCACATTCAAGGAAACTGCCTGCTTCTGTCACAAGATCTGCAATTTTACAGACCACACAGGCCCTTCCATAAAATTTAGCAATTTGTTGACATCACTGTGAGCTGACTGATGTCAATTTAATCTATCACAATTATTTTAACTTAGTGGAAACTGGCACTCTCCAACAGATAGAGATAGCCGGGGGCTGTCAATACCCCAAACCCTGCAGCCAGAAGCATATCACAGTGGAACAAACTTTCTGCTGTGCCAGCCCTACAGTTAGCACAGTGTGGTGGTGGCACAAGGACAGAAAAGACACTGGGACAAAACTGAGAACCCAGAAGCAGACCCAGGTGTGTTTGGACACATTGAGAAAGGCAACCTTGCAGGTCATTAAGGAAGATTGGGGTTCCTCAGTCAATGGGTGTCTGTGTGAGGGAAAAAGATAACTAACCCTACCTCACACCACACATGATTTCCAAGGAAATTCAAGATATAACTAAGAGTCAACGCCATAAAAGGTTTTAGAAAAGATCTTTATAATCTGTAGGTACAGAGACACAAAGAGTCAGTCATAAAAGGGTTGATTTGACCACATTCCATTTAAGAATTTCTGTTCATTGAAAGACGATGAAAACTTGACTCTGCTGAGTCCTGACACACACGCCAGCATGTAGTGTCTCAGCCTTATAAATGCCACTCAGGTTGTTCTGGAGTTCCATTAAAATACCAGCTATCTGTCTGATGCCCCTTGGCATCATGGCTGTACCCGAGGCAGATACACACCTATGGGCAGGACTGGCTGACCCCGCTGTGGACTCAGAGCAAAACCCTTAGAAGAAGCTGAACCCAGGACTGTTTCAGAATTCTGACCCAAGGCCCATTCTGACAATGTACGTGTGATTCTGGACTTACCATCTTTTGTTCATACAAGGGCCACAATGTCTGAAAATACTTCTAGAACCCTCATTTCACCATTAGGGAAAAAATCATTTCTCACAGCTGTTGTGCTAATAAACCCATGCCGTGGTATTGATCCAGGCAGGATAGGGTTAGTTGAAACCTTTTCTAAAACAATTTCTTTATTTTTTTGGTGGTGGAGATTGACCCTAGGTCCTCAGGCTAAGCACACCCTGTACCACTGAAGTACACCCCCAGCCCCAGGATTTAGGGTTAGGGCCTGTCTTCGCCCCTGTTCTGTTGCTTCACCCCATTCTGTAGCAGAATATCTGACATGGGCAATTCATAAAGCAAGGAGGTTTGTTTTGGTTCATGGTCCTGGAGGCTGGAAAGCCCAAGAGCAGGGCCTGCGAAGGCTTCGTGCTCTAGCAGCTGGCGGCAGCAAGTGGGATGGCTGGTGATGAGTGTGACTGTCAGCCTTGCGATGTAACAACCTACTCTCTGTGTCTCTGTGTGCTCTGCCCGGTCACAGCCCCCAAGGCCTCATGTCCAACACTGCCATGGGGCAATTAAATTTCAATAAACCATGTCCAGTCCACTGCAGAGCGTACTGCGACGGGCAGTGCTTGTCCCAGGGGAATTTACTTACCCGGCCATCGTCAGGGGGTAGCTTAGCTCTAACACGCACACAGACCCCTGTGAGTATGTTTTAAAGAGAACTACAGGCAATATTTACAATATTTACAAACTCCAAACCCTGGAGAAGTCCCTTCCAAAGGTGGCAAACATTACCATCTGCAATGATAATATTTTTCTCCAAATATCTCACTTTTTAAATTTAAAATAGCATAGTTTAGAGAAAGCTCTATCACAGCCATAATGTAGAGCTTATAGATACTGCATGCCATAAAAGGAAAACGAAGAGACATTGAAAAGGTTTTTAGGTCCAGCCAGCTGCTGTTGCTGCCCACTGGGGGCTCTGCATTGTCAGTCAAAGAGGGTTCTAGAACTGAGAAACGGGAGTTTCTCCCCAGCTGAGGCTCTGTTATTTAACTGAATCATCTCGCCACCTGTAAAGCGTCCGTATTACCAGACTTGGTACAGTGCAGAGAGCCAGAGGAGTTCACTGATGTTTGGCCACTGCTGATTCACATGGAACCTACAGCCATTTCCCACTTACTCTGCAGCACAACCCTCTGAAATGGGCATTATTTATTTCCGTTTTACAGATGAGCTGAGGCTCAGTGTGTGTCCATCCAGGGTGTGTGTCCATCCAGTGTGTGTGTGTGTGTGTGTGTGTGTGTGTATCCAGTGTGTGTCCATCCAGTGTGTGTGTGTGTGTGTGTGTGTATGTACATCCAGTGTGTGTCCATCCAGTGTGTGTGTGTCCATCCAGTGTGTATGTACATCCAGTGTGTGTCCATCCAGTGTGTGTGTGTCCATCCAGTGTGTATGTCCATCCAGTGTATGTCCATCCAGTGTCTCTGTGTGTGTGTTCTCCAAAGCAAGGACACTGGCATTACCACCCCTTGTAAAAAGTGCTTATCCTCCAGCCCCACAGCAGACCTGCAGGATCAGAAACTCTGGGGTGGGGCCCCCATCTGTGTTTTAACAAGCCCTTTGCGTGGTTCTCAGGCCACCTAAATTTGGGAGCCGCAGGTTACAGCACTTGTGAGGCCCTCTCCTTCCCCTGGACTCACCCGTCTCTCTTCTCCAGGCCCTGATCCAGCTGCCCCCCTATATCTCTCAGTGTGAGGAGGTACTGCGGTTCTTCGAGACGAGGCCTGAGGACCTGAATCCCCCCAAAGAGTAAGTTGATCTCCAAATGGTATCCTCACCATCCTCTCTCCTGCCTGTCCAACCAGCCCTGTGGGAACTGGAGTCAGGCAGAAGACAAGTGAAGCCAGAGTTCATTGATGCAGCCATGCACGGTCACTGCCTGTGGCCTTCACAGGCACCATAAGGGAGAAAGGTCAGTCCTGTGTGACAGGTGAAGGGACCTGGCTGAGTGTTCCTAGTTCCATAATCCTCTCTGCCTACTCACCACACTTCTCAGTGTTGGAGCCCGGTAGATTGAGGCCGGAGGGAGGGGCTCATCCACAGAGCCAGGTGAGCATCAGTTACCCAAAATGCTTGGACCAGGAGTCTTTTTGATTTCAGACTTACTGGAGGTTTGGAATATTGCGTATACCTAGTGGGAGTAATAACAGAAGGTGACCCCAGCTGTGTGGCGGGTGGGCGGAGCTTAACTTGGTGCGCGGTGTCAGTCCACACGTCTCACCCTCTGGAGGTCAGAGCCACGACGCTTGAGGTCTGCAGTCTTGGGAGTTTGTTGTGAGTCTGGGCGCAACTGTGTTAAGAAGCTCATCCAGGAGAGATCAGTGTCTTTTCCTGGGCCTTCCAGGTCCCACATGGACAGGATCAGCTCATTCATTTGTGTGCATCCCCCACAACTACCTGTGCCAAAACCCAGACAAGTCATGCCTAGGTTCTGCCCTCGTGTCACTCGAGCTAAAAAAAAGGTTGGGTGGCTTGGCCTCTTGTCTCTGACATAATTGCAGTTGGAGTGGAAAATGATTGTTTACACATCCTGGAATGGCAGCTGAGGGGGCTTCACCTGTAGGGCCATCTAGCGTGGGGTTCAGGAGGTCAGGTTTGTCTCCAGCTAGACTTCCTGGGCTCCAATCCTGGGCAAGCTACTCCACTTCTCTGAGGCTCCGGGTCTCCATCTGCAAAATGGGGTGACTTCAAAGGGTGAATTGGTTTAAGTATGGCTTTCTGGCCTGGACCACCAGACACAGTGAGTTCTAGTGATGGTGGGCTAAGCCAGCCACACACCTCGCCCTTCCTGCACAGTAGCCGTGAGGTTCAGCCTCTGGAGTTGTCCAGCGCTGGCTGGAGGCCGCCCTCCTGGCCCTCCCACACTCTCAGTGCAGCCCCGACTTCCTGGGGTTGGAAGCTCCCTGCCCTCTCCTGGGGGGGCCAAGTCTGGTTAAAAACCCACACTTGAAAAATCAGACATTAAATAGACATTTCTCCCAAGAAGACACACAAATGGCCAGTGGTCATCACTGGTCATCAGGAGATGCAGATCCAGACACGATGAGTGTGGTATCTGTTCACACCCAACGTGATGGCCATCGTCAAAAAAGACAAATAACAAGTATCAAGGACAAAGAGAAATTGGACCCAAACTTTTAGCAGAAATGTAAAATGGCACAGCTGCTGTGGAAAAGTCCAGAGGCCACAGAACCCTAAATCCAAAGGGACCTTATGACCTAGCAATTCTGCTCCTAGGTGTATAGATGCCCAAGAGAAATGAAAATGTGTGTCCACCCAAACACTTTGACACCTATGTTCATAGAAGCGTTATTCATAACAGCCAAAAGTAGGAACAACCCAAATGCCTAGCAGCTGGTGAGCAGATAAACAAAATGAGGCATATCCATATCATGGAATATTATTCATCCGTGAAAAGGAACTAACTCGTGCTCCAACATGGATGGATCTTAAACATGCTAACTGGCAGAGTCCAGACACAAAACGCCACCTGTCGTATGACTCCATTTGTATACGGTGTCCAGCATAGACAGACAGTTAAGACACAGCACAGTGGTTGCCACAGGCTGGGAGGAGGGGGAGCAGGAAGTGATTACAGATGGTCATGGAGCTGCTTGTGGGGGTGATGAAAGTGGCCCAGAGTTAGATAGTAGTGATGGCTGTAAAACTTTGTCATATACGAAAACACAGTGAATTGTACACGTTTAAAAGATGAGTTTTTCAATGCCTAATAATGATGCCTCAGTTTTTAAAGAAAACCGGGTGGAGCTGGGTTCAGATCCTTCACACACTGCTTGCTAGCTGTGTGGCCTTAGACAGGTTTCTTAACCTCTCTGTGCCTTGTCCGCATATGGTAAATGGTACTTTTTTCCCAGGATTGTTGTGAGCATTAAAGGAATGAACCAAAAGTGCCTGGCAGGGTCCTGGCACAGAGTGGGAGCATTTGATATTTCTGATGATGTTTCTGTTACCGCAGCATCTGTTCCAACCCACCCACTGGAAATCTCACTACCACTGAGATAATTTTTAAGGACTTTGTAAATCCTTACTGTTACTATTGCATCTGTAATAGAGTTGTATTTCTGCACTCTGACATGGTTGACAACATAGGAAGCCCCTTTCCACTATTCCCTAAGAGTGATAGCATCCCCCAAGGGGCATGTGCTGTGTGCTCAGCTGTCCAGACTCCTGGCTATGTCTGTCTGTTCCCTTTACCATTTCCTGACGAGCATTTTCTGCTTTCAGTCTGTGGCGTGGGGAGACAGGAGTCTGTAGGCCAGGCTCAGTGCAAAATGAGGGCGAGTTCCTGTGTGTAGCCTGTGCTCCCCTGCACCCTGTTCCCAGGCCTTCCACTCCACAGATATGTGGAGACACTGGTGCCCAGGGCTCTTATCAGGTAAAGGGAGAAAACTAGAGGAATTCTTCCCTTCTGAGGCCATGTCCCTGGGTTGGCTTGGATTCCATTCATTCTCTGTTTACTGATGGAATACTTATGTCAATACACAGCAAGTACTGACTCATTGCTCTTGCCCTACTTCTTTCCCGTACAGAGAGCACATTGGGAAAAAGAAAACTGGTAAGAATATTTCCATTTTCTTCTTTTCACTCAGTGTTTAGACTCCTCCGACCAAGAACCTGCTTGGGTGCTGGGCTCCACAGTGGGGTAACTGGTGTGGATGGGTGGGTGGGTGGATGGATGAATGGATGGAGGGGTGGATGGGTAAATGGGTGGATGGATGGGTGGGTGCATGGATGGATGGATGGGTGGATGGATGCGTGGATAGATGGGTGGATGGGTGGGTGGGTGGATGGATGGATGGGTAGATGGATGAATGGATGGATGGGTGGGTGGATGGATGGATGGATGGATGGATGGATGGATGGATGGATGGGTGGGTGGATGGATGGATTGATGGATCACTGAATCAATGGGTAGATGAGTGGGTTGATAACTGATTGAATGGACTCATAGATGGACAGATGGATGCATGGATGGATGGGTAGATGGATGGATGGGTGGGTGGATGGGTGGATGGATGGGTGGGTGGGTGGATGGGTGGATGGATGGGTGGGTGGGTGGGTGGATGGATGGATGGGTAGATGGATGGATGGATGGATGGATGGATGAGATGGATGGGTGGGTGGATGGATGGATGGAGGGGGGGTGGGTGGATGGATGGATGGGTAGGTGGGTGGATGGATGGATGGATGGGTGGGTGGGTGGGTGGATGAATGGGTGGGTGGGTGGATGGATGGATGGATGGGTGGGTGGGTGGATGGGTGGGTGGGTGGGTGGGTGGATGGGTGGGTGGATTGATGGATCACTGAATCAATGGGTAGATGAGTGGGTTGATAACTGATTGAACGGATGCATAGATGGACAGATGGATGCATGCATGGATGGATGGGTAGATGGGAGGGTTGATGACTGATTGATACCCCACCCTATTTCCCAAGAGAATGATTTGAGGTTGTTTCATTGTATATCAAAATTTACAAAGTGTGTAAGATTTGATGTCTTTCCCTGAAAGTGCCCTCATAGAGTAGGGAGACAGACATCTTCCTAACCATGCCTTGTTCTACTTTGTACAAAGTAATATGGGATTTCAGCACCCAGAGCATTCTGCTCAGGTGCTAGGTCAGAGGGGAGGTTGGTCATGTAGAGCGAGCGGAAGTTTTCCAGATAACAAAGGAAGGGCATGCTGGGGTGACAGGACAGCACTGGGAGGCAGGAATAATAGAAGATTTGGACCCAACCTACTTGACAGCCTCAGCACCAGCCTGGCCTCTGCTCCCCTAGCCGGACGGTGCTGTGGGCAGTGATTGTGCGTGTCAAGCAGGTACCGTGCTCATTTCCTCTCTCCTGACAGGAAGCTCGTTCTTCCTAACAGTCTTTCCACTTCCTGGATGATGTAACTCTTCCAGCAGAAGCAGTCACAGAAAAGGGAAGTGCACAGAGCAGTGCACAGGCCTAGGCTATGTGGAAGTCAGATCAACGGCAGCCCAACCGTTTCATCCCTACAGCTGCAAAGGCCCAACCAGATCTTTAGCCAGTGTGGTCTCCAGAGCTTCCAGGATTCTAGCCTCTTCCTTTTTTCCACATGTAGCAGCACCCACAAAGTAAGGGGCATGATTGTGATACTTCCATCCATACAAATAATGCAGAACTCTAACTTCTTTACCTTCCTGGGACTACAGGAAGTTTGAAGGGGTCGATGAGGGTGGGGTGCAGGGTGTGGGACAAGCAGAGATCCAGAAGTGAAAACTGGGTATGACAATAGTAATCGGGGCTGGGGATGTAGCTCAGTGGTAAAGTGCTTGCCGAGTGCACAAGAGGCCAAGGATTCGAACCCCGGCCCTGGAAATGCTAATAGCACCAGTAATCTGTGGATGGGATTGTTAAAGGATTAATGAAGCACCTGGCGTGTTGAAATAGTTGCATGGCGCTAGTTTTATTACTAAAGCACACCATGTCTGTCACCAGCATCAGGAGCAGTTCCAATTCAACAGCTCTGGTCCCCTCATTGCCTCCTGGGGACAGGGTCTGTGGTCAGCCCTGCAGGCATCAGGGCCATTTGTGGAGCAAAGCAAGCAGAGGAGCTGGACCTCCACGCCTTGAGGTACAGCATCTGGAGTTAACGCTGGCGTTTGCTCCAACAGCCCATGTGCATTTCTGGTTTAGTAGGCACTGGCCAGAGCCATGGTACCCTGCTGAAGCTGCAAATAGTTCTGAGTCCTGGGATAATTACATGTTTCTTAGGAAAGCGCAGAGGGGAGCTGCCACTCTTGGACTGGTCACAGGGTTTCTGGCTTCGAGTACAGAGAAGCCACTGGAAGAAGCTGGAGGGAGGGAGGAAGAAAGGGAAGAGACAGCTCTGCTTTCGAAAACAGAAGTGTCTGGTCGGAACGGGCTTGATGAGGGGACTTGTCTGGAAAAGGGAGAAGCAGCTCTAATTTGTGGTGACCACTGTTGACATCATTCACCTGCAATGATGGGGCAGGGTTATTTATAGCTCAGCCACGGATGTGACCTCTTTCTTCATTCAGACTAAGAACCCACGCTGGGCTTAGCCTTATTTTTATCTGACCTTTAGACACTGCTTGATTTTACAGCCACCCTTCTTGATTGGATTTTGAAGCATTTAAGGTTAATACCTTAACTCCTGAGATTTCTGTGCCAGAATCTGAATTGAAGGAGGCTTGTCTGTCCTCAGCATTGCCTGGCCCGGACTGGATGGCTGGTCTTGCAGACTTGGCTAATGTGGTCTCAAATTCTGCTCATCTTGCAGGAAAAATTTCTCACCACAATTTAACAGGATATCTGACTACTTAAGGAGCATCTGTCTTATGGGTTTTCTACCCTTTGCTTACCAAAGTATTCCCTTATTTATAGACTCTTTCAGCAAGCGTGGCAGTATAGTAAATTTCTAGAAGGAAAATCCCACTTTGCTGTTTACTCATCATTTTCAAAATTCAAGACATGTCATCATGAAGGAAAATACCCAAATGCATAGCTTCCGTAACGGGTAGGAGAACATGCTACTTGAGAATACTTGTTAGCGCTTAATGGTAAAAACAGCTCTTCCACTGCCAATTTCCTTCCTTCTCCTATCTGTCCTTCTGGGTCACATGGCATTCCTTGCCCAGGAACCCTTTGATTTCACACTTGGCAACTCCTAGAACTTTACTGCCTGCCTCAACTTTAGGTACCGCAATTGGAATGCACCATAGGGCTTGGCTGCAGTGTCACACCCCGCCAACAGGAGTCTTCACGTGGCGCCTACAGAGCCTGAAGCCTAAATTGAGGCTCCCGTCAGACCAAATGAAATCAGTTTTGATAAACTGAATGTGCTCTGAGGAGCGAAGGCAACTTGTTCTGCAAGAAGTGGTACTGACTGGCCAACTGCACCAGTCCGCGGGGACCAGTCCATGACTCCCAAGGAGGATATTTGAAAAATAAAAAGGCCCAGGTCACAGGAAATCAGGTGGGCAGCTGAGCCACTCACACCTCCCCGCCACCCCCATCCCAACCCAGAGAGGACCAGCTCTTTAGCGACTTGGAAGAATTTTTTTTTTAAAAATTAAAGTTCCAGCCAGCACATCCAACTACTGGGAACCAGGCAGGATTGTCACTCAGCCTCTTGTGCCATTTTTTTTTTAAAGTAGTGTTGAAAGCAACTCTGTGTTCTTGGCTCTGAACCACTTTATGGCCAGGAACTGCAGTGGAAAAGCCCCAGAGCCCTGTGCCAGGCCCTAACCCTGCCACCAGCCCTCCTCAGGTCCTGGCTTTGTCTCGCAATTCTCTGGTGCTGCCACTGTTTGGAATTTTCCAAATTCCCTTGGCTGATGGGCTAGGAGAGTCAATGCAGCAATGGGCAGACCAGTCCATTCATCAACGGTCAAGTGTTAAAGCAGGGTGGTGGCACTTGAACTTTCTGGATAGAGTGGCCTGCCTGAGCTGGGTCCTCACATGACCCAAGGTGCTGTTCCCACTTAATGGAGGAGGAGGTATGACCTTCGGTTGCCTGCACGATGGACGGGCCTGTGGATAGCTGTCAGCAGTAGGCTCTCGAAGGAGGAGGCCAGGATCCTTGGGTATAGCTGCTAGGGTTTCCAGATGACTCCGTCTGTTATTCATTCACTGTGCAGACAGCTACCAGGTGCTAAGTGAACAAGACAAGCACACAACAATATTCATTCCACCTACTATGTGCCAGGCAGTGCCCTGGGTTGCCAGGGAATGAATGCAAAGGCAAACACAAGGTGGGAGGTGTTGTCGACAGTCTTGGAGAAAAGACAGCTGTCTAAACAAACTGAAGTGTGAAGGAGGTATTTCATCCCCCAAGGCCAGAAGTCCTGTAGAACTCAGTGTTCAAATCTCCACTCTGACATTTACCATTCGTTGAGTCTTAGTAGACGCCATCTATGGTCCCAGCCAGGTTGTAAATATTCTGCAGTTGGCCAGCAGCATGGAGTCTCTGTCACCATTATTATTACCCATCTTCCTCCCAGTCTCCATCTCCATCATAACTTTTTAAAAAGATAACATTCTTACTCGCCTTGCTCACAGCCAGTCTATGGCCTGTGAGCCTTTAGGCCAGCAGTGGTGAAGAGACAGAGTCCCTGGCCTCAAGCAAGAACAGAAAAATAGGCAACGAGAAAGCCTTTGTACACACAGAACCGACCATTTAAGGGACAAAGCTCTGTGGCAAAGAGTGTGCTGGGCGCGGCCAGACCGCGGCCGAGGTGTCACTGTAAGATGCCTCTTGGGCAAGAGCTGGAGAGAGGGAGGGAAGTCATGGCTCAGCCGGCTGGAGGAAAGTCCCAATTAGGGAGGGATGGGGCAAATGTAAAGTCCCCTGGGGACACACATGCTTTGTGTACATGAGTGGTAAGGAGACGCCTCCTCAATGGAGCATATGTAGCCTAAGTGTGTAGGTGGATGAGGTTAGACTACAGGTAGAAGAAAATCCAAAATGATTCTGGCTTAAACAATGTAAGCCAGAAAGATAGCCCAAGAGTGGCACAGCATTGGTGGAAGCAGGGACCAGGATCCCGTGTCACTGCTCTGCCATACATGACCAGTGTTCCCAAGGTCACCTTATGACCCAAGATGGCTGTGCAGCACCAGCCATCACATCCTCACATCCACATTTGGGCCAGCAGTAATGAGTAAAGGGTGAAGTAGGGCGAACCTTCTGCTATAAATGCCTACACAGCACTTCCAGTTGTATCCCGTTGACCAAAGGTGAGTCACATGATGACTCCCAACTGTAAAGGGGCCTTTTTCCATGTGGCTGTTTGGCCTGACAAAAATCAGGAGTCCTACAGAAGGGAAAAAAAAGCCAGTGGGGGATACATAGCCATCTGTGTCACTTTGGGGACAGAGCAGGATGCAGTCTAATACACTGCCAGAGGCAGGTGAGGCAGGGCCTATGGGCCAACGGGGCTGTTCTTGAGTGAGGTGAGGGTCACAGTGGGACCTGGCCTTGCTGTTGTATCATGAAGGACCTGAAGGGGGAAAGGTGGCAGCAGGGAACCAGAGAGGAGCCTAAGAACAGGTGGCTCCCATTAGAACGAGGAGGCATGTCCCAGGCAGAGAAGGCTTTCACAGCCACCCTGCAGGGTTTCCAGGTGCCCCAGGGCTGAGGTAGCCAAGGACAAGGGCAGAAAGCAAGCACAATACCTGTGTTACTTTTCCTTCACCGTGACCAAATACCTGACGGAAACAGTTTGAGAGAGGAAGGATTTATTTTGTTCATGGTTTCAGAGGTTTTGGTCCTTTTGTGGTGGAGAGGGCATGGCAGAGCAGAGAAGTCCACCTCATGGTGGACAGGAAGCAGAGCAATACAGGAAGGGACCAAGGCAAGGGAGTGCTTCTAGTGACCCTCTTCCTCCAGCTAGGCCCCACTGCCTACCTTTTTCTACCTCCCTGTAACACGTCATACTATGAATCCACCAAGAGATCAGTCCCTCAGGAGCTAACATCTCTGGAAACACCCTCACCAGTGCACCTGGGGTGTGCATTACGAATCTAGGCTTCTCTCAATCCTAGTGCCAGGCCCCTGCTCCAGAGGCCAGGCTGGTGTGGGTAGATGGTCAGCTTGAGGCCAGAAGCAAGCTGGCACTGGAGCCTGATCTGAGGGGCGGTGGTGGATGAGAAGAGGGCTGGCATAGCACAATGGCCCTTGAGAGGTGCAAAGAAAGAAGGCTCAGCTTGGCCAGACCTGAGGTGGTCCCGGGGACCCACAGAGAAGGAAAGCCCCACTCATACCCTCCTTGCTGGAGCACCTTGGAACCAGGTGAAGAGACTGGCTTTGTCAGTCATCAGTGTGTGAAGCAAGGCAAGTGCCTCACTAGCTTGAGCCTGCTTTCTGTTTCACTCTAAGCAGCCTGGGAGGCATTGCTCAAGCTGCCTCCTGTCCAGCCTTCTCTGCCCTCCATCCCCCCTCCCTCCCCTTGCTCACTCTTCTCGGACTTTCCACCCAGGTGCAAGTGGCAGGGTTGTCCCCATTCAGAAGCCTTCCTCCCTTACCACCAATAAGGAAGGCAAATGGGCACAAAACCTAGAGTGGTGCCCTTCACCCAGCCAGAGTGCCCCCTTCGGGTTTTCCATTGGAGCTTCAAGCCGCACAGGGCTAACAAGGGACCTTTGTGCTGAAGCTGGTATGCTGGTGAGGACTTAGCAACCAGCTCCCTACAGAATAGCCCTGCTTTGCCACCTCTGCCAGTTTTCCTGACGAGATTGGGGGAGGCCAATCTCAAGCAACCTGCTCCAGCAGGGTTGGAAAGACATGCACTAATCAGCTCAAGAAGACGGCTCTCACATCCCACCCCACTACTAGGTGGGATTTCCTGGTTGTATTGATTTATAGAAACCAGAGGAAGAAATATTTCAAATCAAAACTTTTCAAATAACCAGGGCCCTGTGGTCACAAGTGACAGGTTACCCTCCCACCTCACTCAGCCTGCTGCTTTAAAAGTCACTCAGCTGTCCCCTTCTCTTTGGAGTCCCTGAACACAGATATCCCTTTAGTTTAAATCACCTGTGTTCTGTGATATCTTTCCAGGTGCTCTTGGGTCGGTCTTAAGTGTTAGCCAGAGCTGCACAAGTCCAGGGGATGCTGTCCACACTGTGTGCTGTAGAAACAGTGTCCCCGAAGCACCTCCCATGTATCCTCTTCCACCACCACTGCCTTGGTCCAAAGCCACTGTCACCTCTTCCCTAGCACCATGGCCTTTATCTGGTCCATCTTCTTCATTGTCATCTGCTGCTCCATTCACACGGCAACTGACCTGGCTTCTTTTTGTGTTTGTTTTCCTTTTTTGCAGTACTGGGGTTTGAACTCAGAGCCTGCACCTTGAGCCACTCCACCAGCCCTTTTTTGTGATGGTTTTTTGAAGATAGGATCTCGTGAACTATTTGCCTGAGCTGGCTTTGAACTGTGATCTTCCTCATCTCTGCCTCTTGAGTCACTTGTATTATAGGTGTGAGCGCTGGCGCCTGGCTGGCCTTTTTTAAAATACAAGTCTCATCATAGTATTCCTTTCTTACAGTGACTTCCTACTTCAAGGTTAAAGACTCCAAACATCTTAGGTTGTCCCTGAAGGCTCTGCCCGATGGGACCTGTGGTTCTGCCTGGGACTACTCTTTCCTCACTACTGGGGTTCAGCCACCTGGCCTCCTTCCTGCTCTGAAGACTCTAGCAGAGTTGGCCTGCCTGGTGTTCACCCCTTCCCAGACTCTCCCTTCGACTTCTGCTTCCTGTAACTCCTTAGGGAGGTCTTACCATTTAATCTGGCATTGCCAGTCCTGCTCAGTGTCTTTCCTGGGTGTTTCCAGCAATTCATTTATCACAAACTGATATTTAAGTAACTTGACATACCTACTGATCACACACACACGTGTGTGTGTATGTCTGTCTCCCCAACTAGGTTGAGTTACTTGAGGCCAAGAGCCATGTCTGTTTCATCCACTTTGCACAGATGGCGCACAGCAGAGTGTGTGGAACTTCTGGTGACTTCACAAGTCCATAGATGAGTGATTTGGACAAGTGACGAATGCATGCTTAGTTGGGTGGATGATGGTGGATGAATGGATACAAGTGAATGAGTGTATCAGTCCATGTCTGATGCTATAACAGAATGCCACAGATGGGGAAACTTATAAAGAAAGGGATTTCTTCTCATAGTTTGGATGCTGGGAAGTCTAGCACCAAGATCCTGGCACCTGGTGGAGGGCTTCTTGCTGCAGTATAATACACAGGAGGTGTCACACAGCGAGAGAGTTTGCTCTGATGACAGATCCACTCCCTCAGTGACTAACCTGGTCCTGAAATATGGCCTCAGTCCATCTGAGTTACCTCTTACAGGCCTATCTCCCAAATGCTATCATAGGGCCCATTAAATTTCTGCACGAGTTTTGGAGAGGACATTCAAGCCTTTCCAATGCTTTTTCCCCTAGGCTGCCAGCTTCTTCAGCACAGGCACCCCGTCTTAGTCAATCCAGAACCCCAGTACTCACACAGAATGGGCACTTGGCAAATGTTGGGGACTGAGTGAGCAAATAAATGAAAGAATGCATGAATGGGGTCTCCCTGACTCATCCTCCTGCCCAGCTCCTGCTCCTCCACGCATGGGTTGCAGGTGACCAGTGTGACATCTGACTGGGTTTGTTGTCCACAGGGGGTGACCTGACCTCAGTGGACCCTATGGTCTTGGAACAGTATGTGGTGGTAGCAGAGTACCAGAAGCAGGAGAGCTCAGAGATCAGCCTTAGCGTGGGGCAGGTGGTAGACATCATTGAGAAGAATGAATCAGGTAAGACCTGGACCACCCGCCTGCCCCCACTGTCCCCAAGCCCCTCAGACAGAAGCAATGGAAACTCAGAAAGAAATAAGCAATCCCACCTGACCGGTCTCCCCAGATCCAGTGACAGTCCCCTTCTCATTTGACACAAAACTCAGATCCACTTGATCACAGCTCACTAGTGTCCTGTTGAATCAGATGTCCCAGTTTGTCCTGAGACTCACCTGCCATAAACCTTCCCTCTGGTTTTCAATCACCTGGAGACAAAGTGAGGTGTTCTGCTGGAAATGTGCTGGTTGGTTTCCCCTCGCTAGCCATGATGTTACTGAGCCGGGTGTGCTGGTCACGCCCAGCACTCAGGAGGCTGAGACAGGAGGACTGTGGTTTGAGACCAGCCTGGCCACGTAGTGAGACTCCAGAAGCTCTGGGCTGAGGCTGGGAGGTGGGGTGGGACAGACACCCACCTGTCTCCTCTGCCCCTGCCGTCCCAGGCACCGCGTGCTGATAGGGGATTGTGGACTGAAGCACATAGTGTAGGGTCCACCAGAACTCATATTGCACAGTGGGCCAAGTCACTTTGTTTCTCTGACCATTGATTTTCTCATCTACAAGAGACAGAAAACTGCTCCACAGAGCCATTGAAGGGTTACGTGACACACTGTACAGAGAGTGCCTAACCCCAAGCTTGCACACAGTAGGTGCTTCACAAAGTGGTTTTCTTCCCTCCTGTCTTCCTCAGCCATCGAGCAGTGATGCACAGAAGGCGAAAGGCAGGGAGCAGGGATCCTGAGGCTTCTCTCTCTGCTGCTGGGTTCCCGTGGCTAAAAAATGCCATTGGTTAGTCACGTCACTAGGGCCAAGCTCTGTGATACCCCAATGGCTAGTTAAGGTCCAGAGAACAGGAGAGACGATGTTTCCAGCTTCCTGTGAGTCACGTTACCATTAGTCACATCAGCCACGCGACCAGCATTAGCCAACCAGATGTTAGCTACGCAATCTAGGAATAGCCCCACTTCCATAAATCCAGGAAAAACAATGTTTCTGGCATCCTCTGGGTTGAGTCCTGCATTGAGCAAGCCTCGTTCATTATGCAGCTAGAAATCCAGCTCAGGATCCCCTACTAGACACTTGTGACACAGGTCTCTCCTGTGACCACAAACTGTGGGGTTTCTCCCCACCAGGAAGAAGCTCTCCGGAGCCCACCCTCTGGCTGTTTTTGGAAACTTCTTGGCATAGGCATGATTAAATCAGGGACAGTGGTGTAGACTGTGACTGATAAAAGGTCTGAGCTAATCTAATATAGTTGGGAAAACTCAGGAGGCCTGTCTGTCCAGATTCTTCTTGGCCTCTCTTATAGGCTTTCTTCCTCTGCATGTGGACAGAACCTCCACCACAATAGGGGTCTTATTTCTTCTGCTTAAGGGACCCAGAGAATTTAATTTCTTTATGAACACTAGCTCCAAGGCAGGAAAGCTTATGATATATTTTTAGTATCTGTGGCCGGAGGAAAAGGAGCAGGGGAAAGTCAGACAAAGACTTGCTTTCTGAGTCCTGCTTCTGAATCCTAGAGCCCAGCATTGCTCTAGCCACTTGGGAAGTAACAAGGGCTAGTAATAGGAATAATGAGCCAGGAACCACGGTGAAACCCGAACACATATGTCATCACACATCACCCACTTCTGATCTGAAGAAACAGGAGTCCACATGATAGTCACCTATCCCAGGTCTCTCTGGTGGCAATTGTGTGATACACTACGGGATGTTAAGGCAGCACCCACTCTGCAGGCCACCAGTCTGAGTGCAGCCTGGGAGAAGGAGCAGTGGTCAGGATGTGGTAATGGGCTGACCATGGGACAGCCAAAAAAAAGTTGATGTTCAAGTCCTCAATAGCCAACAAACTGGTAACATTTATTTTTAATTATACTGTCCCTTGGAATCTGAGGAGATTGGTTCTGGGAACACTTTTGGACACCAAAACCCACAGATTAAGTCTCTTATATGAAAAGGTAGTGTTTCTGCACACAGCCTACACACCTCCTCCTGTACTTTAAATCACCTCCAGATAGTTTACAACACCTCACATGGTGTAAGTGTTGTTAAACTCCTGCATAGACGGTAACTGAAAGGGTACTTGGTGCAGGTGAGGCTCTTTCCACACTCTTGCCACTTGGTGGTTTGTTGCATCTGCAAATGTGGAACCCGTGATCCAGCAGTATTACAGGCGCTGGGAATTAGGAGATGGACTTCTTGGGGGTCGTTACACTGCCTCCCCAGAACCACGCCAGCCCTTCGCGTCAGATCATGTGGTCTGGGTGTGAGGCTGCCGAAGCTGAAGCCTCTTGATGTGCACACCGCAAAGTGTATCTCAAAGGCCAGGGCCTTTGGAATCTTCAGTCTGGTCACTTCTTTGTACCTCAGTCGTCTTCTGTGCAGTGGGGCGATCATAGGAAGGCTGTGTAGGGTAAACATGGAGCATGAAGAGCACATCACACATCTTAACCATGGTGAGTGCCCTTTATTCTCATCATTAGGACAGTCTTTCCCTCTGATCCAGCCCAGGAAAGTTTCTGTCAGCCTGTTTTTAGCAGTTAGCCGCTACGATACACAACTCATGAGTAAGGGAGTTGAGACAGTGCACACGGGAGGATCGCAGAGGTTATGTGCGGGCACACCACTTCTTGTAAGGAACTTGAGCCCTGTGGGTTTTGGTACCCCCGGCGCAATCCTGGAACCCCTCCCCAATACCAAGGGATGGCTGTATTCTTCTCCTCTCACATTCGGTCCCGCTAACACTCTGCACTCTCATTCCGCAGGCTGGTGGTTTGTGAGCACTGCAGAAGAGCAAGGCTGGGTCCCTGCCACCTGCCTGGAGGGGCAAGATGGCGTGCAGGACGAGTTTTCCTTCCAGCCTGAGGAAGGTAGGAGGAGCTCCGCTCCACTCGCAGTGGTACCCAGACCACTGTCACCAGGTGCACTGGCCTCTCGCCTTCCCGAGAGCCTCTTCCCTTCCCACAGCCTCTGTCCCCAGGACCGGCAGCTTGATGGCTCAGGCCTGTGAATGAGAAGTGTCTTCGTCTAAGAGAGGAAATGAGATCATGGGACTTTTTTTTTTCTTAGTTAATTGAAGTCCTACGTGCAGAGAACCTAGAAAAACAAATAGCCAAGAGGACTTACCAGATGAGCTGTGCTTTGCAAGGCTTAAGTGTTCGGACTTTCAGTGAACAGTTTTGCAAAAGCACAGAACCACTTTCAGAATGTACACACCAGAAAAGAGGGCAAGGGGAAGGGGGTGTTCCTAAGCTCAAAGATTAGCAGGAAGGTTGTGTTTTTGCATTTGGGTGAATTTCAGCCAACACCCCTCGGAGTTGGTCTGCTCTGCTTTGAGGGCCCTAGGGGCCAGGATAATGGGTCACCACAAGAACCAGTTCAGCAAGGTGCCCTTCATGGAAACCAGAGCCCCTTGGACAGACAGTTCATGACGACCACAATGCTCCCTCTGAGGGAAATGATTATAGTCTCCTTTCACAGGTGGGGAACAGGCTCAAAAAGTAGAGGCTTGCCCAGGGCCACACAGCTAGGATCTGGAAATGTCTCTTCCCTCTGCCATGAGAGTTTCTCTTATTGTCACTTTCTAATCATACTAGGAATAGATCTGCGTCTACTGCATGCCTCTTCACTTAAGTTCAAGGTTAATACTCAGACACTTGGGCTCAGAATTGACTCAGAAGTATCTCTCACCTATGGGGAACAGTGCTTTGCGCCCTTGACTCCAGCCCTGGGATGGCTCTGCTCTCACCTCTGTCTTCTGCCCTCCCCCCACATGCTGCCCGTCCAGACTCCTGGAGGTACTGGTCCCTGCCCCGGCCTGTGGGCCGCCGACGGACTCTGGGGGACTTGTATGCCATCAGCTGGCGACAAGGTGCCTGCCTCAGTTTCCTTCCCATTTGTGTCATGTATCTGCATGAATCCCTGCTCTGAGACTGCCCGTGCCTGCTGCATGTGGAAATGTGGTCTGGTCTTTTTGTGTGTGTGTAAGCTGAGGAGACACAGGTCCTTGTCAGCCTTGGGGCTCTGAGGTGTCCTGGATTAAAATATGACACCTGGGGCTTCTGTAATGCTAAGCCAGCAGCCTGTCCCTTTCATCAGGCTCACTTAAGTCACAAGGCAAAGAACCCCACATCGACCAGGTTAAGCAAAAAGGGAGGTGTGTTGACTTGTACCACTGAAACGCCAGGGTAGGCCTGGCTTTAAGTGTGGGTGACAGGGTCTTGAAGCAGTCATTGGTACCTGGGACCTGTCTGGTCACCTCTCTCCTCCATGCTCTGCCTTGTTGGCACCACTCTCTCCTGGCGGCAGTGGTTTCAGGCACCTTTCAGGGACATCCACAGAGAAACAAATTCTCCTTCAACATAAACCCAAGCCTCATTCCATGATTCTCCTGGTGTGCACCATCCCTGAATGCATCATGATGGGCCAGTTTGCTGCAGTACTGTGACCAGGCCAGGGAGCCCAAGGGTTAACAAACTTGAGAGCAAGGTGGCTCATAGCTGTCATCCCAGCCACAAAGGAGGTGGAGGTAGAAGGACTTGGTCCAAGCCTGGCCTGGGCAAAAGTGTAAAACCCTATCTGAAAAATAACTGAAGCAAAAAATAGTAATAATAAAAGACCCAAAGGTGTAGCCCAAGTAGTAGAAGTTCTAGGTTCAAATCCCAGTACTGCTGAAAAGAAACAAAATGAATATAAAAATAATTATATGTTGTATGAGAAGATAATTTCTGGAATGGGTGGGGAGGGAATATTAACCTGAGCAAAGGGATGACAAGACCGGGTTGGAATGTTGCATCAGGTGGTTGACAGTGACCTTGAAGCATAGATTTGAGGAAGGGACGTGTGATACCAAGGGATTCAGAGGGACTGGGACCCGCCCCAGTCCTGTGTCCTATTGCTGCTTGCACAGGGTGATCCTGGGCTCTGTGGGATCCGGGGATGCACAGACATCACTGGAGGAAATCTGTCCTCGTCATCACCCAGATCAGTCAGCATCCCGGGACTCCTGGTGTACAGTTCTGACCCCAACACCCTTTGTTACCATAGAGGAGAAGTACACGGTGATCTACCCATACGCAGCTCGGGACCAGGATGAGATGAATCTGGAGAGAGGGGCCGTGGTGGAGGTCCTCCAGAAAAACCTGGAAGGCTGGTGGAAGATCAGGTACCTAGCACTGTGGCTGGATAGGTTTCAGGTCACACATGTCGCTTCACACATGTCGCTTCACACATGTCTGTAAGTGACTGCAGATGGGCAGTGTTTCTGACTGAGCCATGAGGCTGCTAGCTTCCCCGCCCCCAACTATATCCTTCCCTAAAGGGCATAGTAAGCAAAAGCCTCTCCAAACACAAAGAACCCCAGAGAGCAGAACCCTGTTAAGGACTGGGCTCCACCTCCAGGTGTCCTCAGATAACTAAGTAGAGGTGGCAGAGGTCCCAGGTGAGTCACTGCCTATCCTCACCCCACCACAACCAGCGTGGTACATGAACACCACATCTGTAGCAGCCACCCCAGGACATAGGCACCACGTCCACAGCAGCTACCCAGGACATAGGCACCACGTCCACTGAAACCACCCAGGGGAGAGGCACCACGTCTCCTGCAAGCATGGCAGGATTTGATGATTGAGGTGAGAGAGGCAAACAGAGCCAGATGGAAAGGCCCAGAGGGCCACACTGAGAGCATAGACATCATCAGAAGGCATCAGGCAGCATGCAGCCTCCAGCTCTAGTAGTAAGGACCCTGTGTCCCTGCCATAGGGACCTTAATGTGACTCTCAGTGGGAACATGGTTTCTTCCCATGGGCCCAGCAGACCAGTGTGACTAGTGCCCTTGCTCCTCCTCCCAGGTTCCAGGGAAAAGAAGGCTGGGCCCCCGCCTCCTACCTAAAGAAGAGCAGCGGGGAGCTCTTGCCACCTAAGCTGGGCCCTGGCTCATCCGCCCACTCAGGGGCTCTGGACCTGGATGGTGTTGGCCGGCAGCAGGTTACGGTGAGCAGGGAGAAGGAGTTGCTCAACAACCAGAGGGATGGCCGCTTTGAAGGCCGTGCAGTGCCCGATGGCGACATTAAGCAGAGTGAGTAACCCACCCCAGTTCCCGACAGCACCTGGCTACTGTGCCTGTTCTCAGGCTGGGTGCTTAGAGCCTCTCACATATTACCCTCTTCCTCACAACCCATCTACCTACCATCCTGCAGATAAAAAGACTCAGAAACCCAGGGGTGACTAGTCTCAACTGTTCGTGTTCACGTTCTCGTTCACACAGTGGGTTGCAGAGTCCAGTGGAGTGAGAGCGTTGCTTTCTCCCCTGACTGAGTTTGCTCATGCAGATCCAGCACCACTGCATGCCAAGAGTCTTCTAAATAATCCATTGCCTCCCCCTACAACCTTTGAGGAGCTTAATGCTTTCGTTTCACAGGTGAGGGGTCAGAGAGATGGGGTGGTGAGTCCAAGGCCACCCAGATGGTAACCTTGGGGTCAGGTCCTGAACCCAGGTGGCACCAGCTCTTGAGCCCAAATGGCACCTGGACTCCTCTACTCCTTCGTGTAGCCTCATGTGTGAGCCAGAGGAAGAAAAGTTGATCCCATGTTGGGTTTGCACTAACAGTAGGGCTTCACCCACTGTTAGCATTTCATACTCTAGCCTTTCACCACTGTTGTCTACTTCGTACCCAGGACTCTGGCCTCAAGCACAGAGCCCAAGATCCTGTCCTGGTTGTGTGGGCAAGGGTAATCTTTTAAGAAAGGACTTTCAGTTTCCCACAGAGATGAAGATATGCCCCTAGCTGGGCTCCTCCTAGCTGCTTTTGCCAGGTGACAGTAAACTTTTGAGTCTCTAGACATGTTTTCTTCTCTGCTTAGCTGCCCTCAGCACCGAATGCATCACAGGTGTGGTTACATGCCATGGTGGGGCTTCTGAGATTCTTAACTGACTGTCAAGAACATAGGAAGAGCCCCATTCACACAGAGGACCAAATGAAAACCTGAAGTCACGTCACTTTATTGAAAACCTGAAGTGCAGGTTCAGATGCTAAAATAAAGACCCTCTCCCCCATACACAGGCACACATATTCCCAGTAACAGTGGCCCAAACAAACTGCTTGTTTCATTTCCCCACAGTGGTGCGTGTGCATGTCCAGGGCTGGTGCAGTCCAGGGTCTTTTCCCACTGCCCCTGTCTTGTGTTGCTCTCTCCGCCTATTCAGCATGGCTCACCACTGGTCCAGCCCATGGAAGACAGGCAGGGAGACATGGAGAACATGACTCAAGCTACACACGTTCCACTTTCTTCCATATCCCACTAGACTTAGCCATGTGCCAATACCTAGCTGCAAGGAAGTCTGGGAAATGTAGTCTTAATATGGGTGGCTAAGTCTCTTGGCTGAAACTCTGCTGCTATTTATTCTAATAGCAAGACAAGAAAGGTGGGTATTTGAGGGATTGCCTGTCTCTTCCATACCCTACCCAACAAAATACCCCTGTGTGGAAACCTGACAGCACCGTGGACCACTGCAGTTGTCCTCCTGACCCTGGGACTCAGAGCGAGGGCGACTCATCTCCAGAGTAAAACCCCTGAGGTCAGCCCAAGGGTGTTTGGTTCCACTTCTCCAGGTTCTGTTTAGTTCGGCTTGTTCTAGAGCACAGAACCAGAAGCAGTAATGTTTATGCGTGCCTGCCACGTGATAAGAGCTGCTGGGTTTTTGCCTCCATCTCTACCAGCACCCTGGGAGGCACGCCTTAGGTCAGCTCCACAGAAGCCTGTGGCTCACAGTCATGCAATCCATTTGTACTTCTCTGGAAGCCCACAAGCCTAGATCCATCCTGTGTAACTCTGAAGCCTCTGCTTTTCCCCCTTCCTGGGAAGCCTTCCAGTGCTCAAAGTCTCGGTCCCATCCCCTTTGGTTCCTGCATAGAAAAGATCCAGAGGCCCCATTGGTAGAGGGTCCTGAGCTAAGACTGAGAAGAGAATGGCCTAGCTCTTCCCGCAGAAAGGGTCACAGCTAACTCCTGTGCAGAACTTCTGCCAGTCTACAGGAGGGATCGACCTTCCCTGAGTCCACATCAGGGACTCCTATCTGTGAACTCCACATGTGAGTGAAATGAGTCTTGTTTCTCCATAGGATCACCAAAGATGAGGCAGAGACCCCCTCCTCGCCGGGATATGACCATCGTAAGTGCTCTATTGCTGGGGGGAGGCCAGCCTGACCTAAAGGCCAGCAGGAATGCCCACTGACCCCCATGGCCTCACCTTTTCTAGAGATGCTCTTTCCTGTCCACACAGCAGCCTTGCAAAGCAGGCTGTGTGAGTGCCGGTGCCATTAACAGGTGGGAAGACCGAGGTCCAGGCAGGTGAAAATCTGTGCCATGTTCTAGAGTGTGCTGTGTCAAGTCAGCCAGGGCCTGTGCTGCTTCCTGAACCCCCTTGTCCTAGATCAGTTTTCTCGGGTCAGGCATCTTGAGGCCCAGGCTTGCAGGAGGCACACATCTCATTTGTGGTGACATCTCAATGTTCTCCATTTTGTAATCTTCAGGGCACCCTTTTAACCATTACAGGTGGAGTGTCACTAACTCAAAAATCCAAGATCCAGTGGGCTCCAAAATCTGAAACTTTTTGAGTGCCAATATGGCACTGTAAGTGGAAAATTTCACACTAACTGCAGGTGACAGGTCACAGTCATAATGCAAATGCCCTAAAAATATTGACTAAAATCATCACCATTTTATATATATATATATGAAGCATAAATGAATTTTGTGTTTATACTTCGGTTCCAGGCTCAAGACATCTCATTATGTGTAGACAAATATACCAAAATCTCAAGCATTTCAGATAAGGGTACTCAACCTGCTCTTTGAGGAAGGGACCTTTTTAATGTCTGCCGTTTATGGAGCACCACTGGGTACCACACAGCACGTCAGGTCCTCACTGCATTAACTTGCTTAACCTGTGCAGCAAGCTCACCAGGCCGATACTATTACTGTGCCCATTCTCTAGGAAACAGGCTCAGCACCGCCACCATTAGTATTTCCAGCCCACCTGGGTCTGGTTTGCACCTGCGTTCCTCTCGGAACCTCACTGCCTCCTTGTGATGCAGAAAAATGTCCCCTGTGTTCCCTCTAAGTTTGAAGGCCCAGTGAGAAGTCATCTAGCAGATGACAGCCGAGTCCTCTTTGTTTCTCACCTTAGAAAATAAATAGGTCCACCAGACCCCCTTGGTAGTGAACACGTCCCCCCCAGTCCTTTGACTCCGGGTCACGGTAACGCATTGACAGTGGAGTTAGTCCTGTGTGTAACCTCCCAGCCTCGAGGTCTCAACCTGCCGAAGCCTCCCATCCCGCCCCAGGTGGAAGAAGAGTATTATACCATTGCTGAGTTCCAGACCACCATCCCAGACGGCATCAGCTTCCAGGCCGGTCTGAAGGTCGAGGTGAGCGCACCCGCCATCCCTTGCCTGCCTGTCATCCTGGATTCCGGGCATCAGCCCTGCTCTCTCTTCTCACCTCCTACTGCTTTTGAAGAATGTGGGGAAATGCGGGTGGCAGTCTATTGAGATATAATTCACATACCAAACCATTTACCAATTTGAAGTGTGAAATTCAGCTTGTATATTCAGAGTTGTACCACCATCCCCATTACCTAATTCCAGAACAAAAAGAAACCTCTTGCCATGAGTAGTCACTCCCATCTCTGCTCCCTCCCCACCGCCGTCCTGTTGCTGTAGATTTGCCTGCTCTGGAAGTTGGAGAAGTAGAACTATGCAATCTGTGGCCCTTTGGGGCTAGCTTTGTCCTTTCTCTACCACATTGCTTCTTCCTATCTCTAGTGTTGTCTGCTCTGACCCCTGGGTAAAGGCCAGGACACATCCTTTCTCTTCTTGCAGATGAACTTTTCTGTCTTGATGGGAGTAGACCGAAGGTGTTCCCCAGGCTCCCAAGAAAGCCTACAAGTAGTGCGTTAGCAGCAAGGAGCAGGAATTGGACACCTTGGGCAAAGACAGCTTTCCACCACTAACAGTAGCAGGTGAGCCAGTCATGGCGTCCCTGCCTTCACTCAGTCATGAGGAAGCTTTGGCAGACCCTGCTCCCCTCCCCCTTGGAGGCAGAGATTTAATTGTTCATCTCTGCAACAAATACAGTACAGTTGTCTTCCATGTCCCTGGTTCCATATCTATGGATTCGGCCAACCACAAATAAAGCTTTTCTTCTCATTATTCCCTAAATACAATACAACTACTCTTTGTGTAGCAGTTACACTGCATTAGGTATTGTAAGAATCCAGGGAGGATTTCACATGCATGGGAGGATGTGTGCAGGTTCCATGCAAATATGATGGCATTTTATACAAGGGCCTTGTGCATCTGTAGATTTTGGTATCCACTGAGAATGGGGTGTCTAGAACCGGTCCCCTGCAGACACCAGGGGATGACAGTATTAATGGAGCACCTCCATGCCAGGAGGAGCAACTTCCAGGCCCTGAAGAGGCATCTTCATCCTCATCTTTGCTCCAAGTAACACAATGCCAGCGCCAGGCACAGACCCTTCTGACAGCCAGGGCACCGAGCACTGTTGGCCAGCCCAACAGTGCCCAGCTACTTGCCTGGGTCTTTCCTTCCTTCTCTCCCTGTACTCCAGTTCACTGGTTGCTCTCACAGCACCGTATCAGGCAGGGCTTCCTATACCCTGTACTCCATGGGTTAGCACTGTGTTCTCTGGCTCTGCTTCCAGGGGCATTGGTGCATCTTGATGTTCACAAGAAGAAAATCCTTTTGTGTTTTCATGAATTTGGGAGATTCTGAGTTGTGTTTGACACTATTCTGGGAAGATCTGCCCTGAGTCATCACTCATTGTCATCTCAACAGGGCTGGTAGGATGGAGTTTAAGGGAGAGGATCTTGAGTCTGCTGTTAGCTTGAGGAAGCAGAGCTGCCAGTGGACACCCAGAGGGAACGGTGGATCGGCACTTTTTTGTGTGTGGATCAGCATTTGGATGTGTGTGTGTGAAGCTGAAAGGGTGTTTTGGAGTCAGTAGCCTATTGAAAGTAATTAGAAGTTGTGGGGGAATTCATCAAGAAGAGGGAGGGGCCAGACCCCACCCCAGGGGCAGAGAGGGCTGAGAAGAGACACTGACATTGGATAATGGGCAGCTAGGGAGAGGCTAGGCCAGAAAGGAGCCAGAGTAGTGGGGCACCAAGGACCAGTGGGGCACTTGAAGGAGGCAGGCAAACGACAGTGTCCCTGGCTGGGGAGGGTGTTCATGACAGAAAGGAGGTTACTGGTGACTTTTCAAGAGTAGTCCAGGGTAAAGGCAGGATCTTCAACCAGACCACAAGGGATGGAAGAGAGAATGGAGGTAAAGAAGTGGAGACAGTGATTGTAGGAAACACAGACTTAATTAAGAAAGAATGAAGGTGGCAGCTGGAGGAAGTCTGGCAAAACGGGACTTAAGCAAGGGGACACTTGACTTCTCAAGGCAGATTTGTAATGTATCCTAGGAATCTCCTGCCTTTGGTGTCAGTGCCCTCTGGCTGCCTGTCAACGTCATCATTGTTGTGCAGGTGTGGCAGGTCAGCCTTCACACCTGGGGTTCCACAGGCTCACATGATAGCAGCAGGTCTTCTTTCTGTTTCTCATTTTCTCTACCCTGGCTTCACTCGGGCTTCTTCCAGGAGCAAAGAGGAGGGCCCAGCTGCCCTAGGCTTGTAGCCTGTCTGCTCAGCAGCCATAGAGTTCCAGTATAGGTCCCGGAATTGAGCCTCATGGCTCTGGCCAGCCCACCCTCCACTTCCTACTCCTGGGTCTCAGATGGGACAACAAGGGCCTGAGGAAACCTGGTTGCTGCCGCCAGAAGAAGAACCAGCTGCCAGAGAAAACAGTGCAAGCCTCTGGGTCTTGACATCTCATTCGCCCTATTCAGCACACATAAAGTGTGCTGCCCCATTTCATGGATGAGGAAGCAGGGTTAAGTGGAGGCAAGATGGCTGCATCACTCCTAGACCTCTTCATTGCAAAGCTAGTGGTAGACCAGGCCATGGCTTGGCATCAAGTTCACATTCCCTCCAACACCACACAGGGCAGGGCTCCATCAGGGGAAGGATCTAGCTGCTTGCAGGTCTTTCCCAGCCACCTTTGCAACAAGTACCTGCCCCTCGGATTTCCCAGACTCTGCTTCCTGTTTGTTGGGTAGGTGCACGGGTGAGAGGGTGATAGAAGGTCGGTGGCTTATTGCCCATCCTCCACACGTAGAATCTAGGTCTTTGGGCCCAGGGATTTTGTGTGTGTTACAACAGGATCTCCAGCACCACTCCAGGCTTATCATGAATCCTCAGCGAACGTTCATGGAATGCAGCAGCTCGCCCCGTCAGGTTGCAAGCCCCCGAGGACAGTAGCCATCTGAGCAGCACCTCACGTGGAAAAGTTCCAGGTTGCCCATCTGTCTGCATCTCACCTGCTCATCCGTCAGGGCTCAATGCAAACTGCCCTCTTCCTGCAGCTGTGCTGGCTTAGGGGGTTCTTGTGCTCTGTGTGCTCGTCTAACAAAATGAGAGTAAAAATGCTAATGGCTCACATTGATTGAGTGCTTTGTCACCTTTCTGTTGCTATAGCAGAAAAAGGGGAATTTTCACTTACGGTATCTTGTCAGCACCCAAAAAGTTTCAGATTTTGGATAAAGCATTTTGGGTATTTAGATATTCCTAACCTGAACTCAAACTCCTGCTTCTGTCCCGAGGGTCTTATCTGTTTCCCAACATCCTCCATGCTCGAGGGCTGTTCCTTCCACTCTTGCTGGTCAGCCCTGTCTACACTGCTGTCCTCCAAGTCCCATCTGTCAGGCTGCCCTCTCCACTCTCTTGCCCTCTCTGCCAGGACTGATCTTGCTTCAGCCCAGCTGCCTGTCTGTCATCTACCTGCCTTCTTGTGGATCAGCTCAAGGCAGCCTTTTGACTGAACTGGGCATAGCAAAATTCAAGTCACCCTTCAAACCCCTGCCTCCTGCAGGAAGCCTCCTGACTCCTACTGGCTACCTTTGTCAGCTTCCTAGCTCGCGGGGCCACTGTGACGATGTGTTCTTAACTAAGGCCCCCGCCAGCAGTGGTACTGTCCCTCCGTGGTGGTTGTTGGAGGTGTGATTCCAGATTTGGACTCCAAGTTTGAGCTCGGTCCTTTGCGTATGTCATCCCATTCTCTTCTTACCTCTGGTGTTGCTGGCAACACTGCTTCCACCTGACTCTTGTTCTCTCAGGATTCCTCACTGTCTTCAAAAGATTTCAATTGCATTAATGTGTGGCAAGATGTGAGATTATTTTTATCTGGCGTGGCAGGTGGTGAGCCTTTGTACTCTAAGGTCTCAGGAAGTCATCCTAGAAAATCACCCAACCTGCTATGGCTTCTTTAAATATTGACTGCCTTCATTCTTTCAGTCTTTCCTGCTGGAACTGTTACTAAATAGATATGGGAACTATTTTCTATGTCCTTTAACTTTTCTTTCATAGTTTCTTTTTTTTCGAGACAGGATCTCTCTGTGTAGCCCTGGCTTTGAACTCCTTTTCAGCCTTCAAAGTTCTGAGATTACAGGCATGTACTACCATACCCTTCTTTCATATTTGCTGTCTCCATCCCCTGGTGGCACATTCTTGGATATTTCTGCACAATCTTTTGGTTCATAAATTTGCTCTTCAGCTGTTGATTATTTTATTTCAGTAATTAGAATTTTCACTTCCAAGAGCTCTTCTTGATTCTTTTTTGTAGTAACCTGCTCCTTCACGATTTTGAGGTCTTTCTGTATCTGAGGATCGTAAGCATGCTTAACGTATAGTCCACCATTACCAGTTATCCTCCCTTTTCCTTCGGTTATAAACTATTTGCAGTGGTGTTGGCATTTTTTCACTTCTTTCCATGGGATTAGTCTTATGCAGTTGAGCCAGCAGTCTAACAGCCCATGGAAGCTTACAGAGGAGTTGTTTGGCTCCCACTGGCCTCAGTACCAGTTTGGGGACTTCTGAATGAGCCACAGAGCAGCATCGTGTGTCTGTGACCCAAGCTTGCACACTTGCTGTACTACTGTTAAGCCGTCTCTCTTTTTTCTCCCCTGCCTCAAGAAATGGATAAAGAGCAGAGTGCCAGCCAACCTGGGTGTTACCACGTCACAGCCCCTCCCCTGCCGGTTGCTCCAGGCCCCTCCCTCAGTGCTGCCACCCTGCAGTGTCCCCTCCTTGGACAGCACTCCTGGGTCACAGCCTCGCTCCCAGAAACTGAGGAATCTGAACCCCTCACAACTTCTGATCCACCAACTTCTTTCCTTCCTCCTTCTGAGCTCAGCTCGGGGTTCATTTCTTTCTTTCCTGGATTTGTTGCATAAAGAGGAAACTCTTGTCCACTTCTTCCCCCATCTTGAAACCAGAAGTTCAAATTGTGTGTTATAAAGAGGCTTCTTTCCAAGGGAGCTGAAAACCACTGTGAGGCCTTCTCAGTGAAGACACAGCCTTTAGACCCTGGGATGTGGCTCAGTGGTAGGGCACTTGCCTGACAGACAAGGTCCCGGGTTCTATCCCCAGCTCCGCACACACACAAAACAGATGCAACCTTTGACAGGGAGTTTCCAGAACTTCCTACCAACATATTACCAGTACCAGTACTCAAACACTGTTTGATCTGGCAAACCAAACATTTGCCATCCCACTCAGGATGCTCAGATGCCTGCCACGACACCCAGCATGCCGTGACAGTGCATTGGCACTGAGGCCTGCACTGCAGGCAGCAGGGACTTCATGGATCCCTGGCATTTTCTGGAGGTGTTGAGTCTCCCCCAGATCCCACCGTTACTTAACCAGAACCTTGACCCATTTTTCTTTCTGACTCTCTCCCTTTTCTGGCCCAAGGAAAAGCTCATATCCCCTACCTCCTTTTCTACAAGGCACAGCCACAGCGTCCTCGAAACTTCTCAGCTTTGCTGGTCCAGGACATCAGCACAGGCTGACATAGTCACGGCCACAGTCAGCCTGGTTACAGAGAAGTAACTTGTGGGACTTCGGAGGGAATTTTTGCCAGTAAAGCTTTGGGCTCAATCAAGCGTTTTCTTCTGAAAAATCCCATAGGATCTGTTTTCCCTTTTCTGCTTCTGCTTCCTGGTTCATTCCAACAGCATCTTAGTACTCAGAAGTCACCAGTGGCTCCCCACTAATGGAACCAGTGGGAGCCGTGTAGCAGGAAGAGTGGCAGAGGATGTCAGCTCACTTTCTGGACCTTTCACCTCTAAGACGTGTTGAGGGGTCATGGCTCAAGGTAGGGCACTTGCCTGTCCTGCGTGAGGACCTGGGTTCAATCCAGAACCAAAAACAGATGACCTGTTTTCCAGATGGTGCTCGTGGTGGTGGTAGTTATAGCAGGTACCTCTTTGATGCTAGGTACCTTACCTGCTTGATAACTGACCTTCCCAGAAATCCTTAGAGGGCAATATCAGCACATTGTACTGAAGAGGTACCTGACACTCAGAACGACTGTGTAAATTCATCACCTCAGGCTGTACGGCTAATAAGTGATGGAGCTGGGATTTGAACCTAGGTCTCTCTGGTTTTAAACTCCAAGCTCTTTTCTTTCTTTCCTTTCATCGTGTGATCTTGCATTTGCTTTTACTCATATTAGCTTGTGGCTTCTCTCTAGTAAACAAAACTCCCTCAAATTGTGATTAAGAACAGAGATGCCCTGAACTCTGCCACAGTCCTTTTGTAGAGGGCAAGCTTTACAGACCCTCATGGCTACACCTGTGCTGAGTACTGTCCTGCTCTCGTCCCCTCTTCTGCATGATTTAGTGCTAGCAGTGTTGAATTCCTGGCGGTGCTGTGATGGCTTGCACACCCAGCATGGCCTTTGAAACCAGCACTGCCGAGCAATATGGGATGTGGTCCACATCTACCAGTGCTCTTTGCCCAGTAGCATCCAGCAGGCTCACGGAGTACTGTTTCTGCAGTGAACCCTGCTTTTGCTCAGATGCCTCCCTGCCAATGGTATAACAGCTAACATTCATCTTTTGGCTTACCAGGTGCTCTTGCATGACCAAAGTCAGCATGTGGGTGTCACTACTTTAACTATCCTCCTCCTTCTGAGGCATGTGGCTTGCCCAGGGCCAGTTCGGCAGCAAGTGGTGGGGGTAGAACTGGAACTCAGGACTGTGGACCCTAGAGTCAGGCCTCCTTGTCCGGACCACTGGCTCCCCAGCCAGGCTGCAGTGTGCAGCACCAGCACAGCCATGCCACAGCCATCGTGGCCCCTGCAGCAATTTGTTGGCCCAGGCATGGATCCTCCCCAGGAAGGAGGTCCACCTGCCTGCCTTTGGCCCTCTCCTCTGCCGTTAGCTTTCTGCATGACCCCGTGCCAGCTCTTCAGCTCCACTGAGTCTCCACTCTGCATTTGTGTAACAGAGCGACAGCCCCATCTCAGGGCACAAGCATTGTTGAGATCTCCTATAGACAGAGCCTGCCAGGGAATCACAGTGTGGATCAGAGCAGTGATTTCTTTCCCGCAGTCTGGAGTCTAGAAGTCCAAGGTCCAGGTGTTGGCAGGGTTGATTTCTCCTGAGGCCTCTCCCCTTGCCTTGCAGATGGCCGGCTTCTTGCTGTGTTCTCACACGTCTGTTTCCAAATCTCCTCTTATGAAAGATGTCAGTCTATTGCCTTACCACCTCCCCTGATTGCGTGCGCACACTGTATTCCATTGAGATAAGTGTGATTACTGCTTCAAAACAGACTTTTCCATGTGGCATGGCCTCTGTAAACACCAGTCGAGCATTCGTCTGATGCTCAAGCGGGAAGCAGGGACCAAGGTTGTTCTGGCTGTCTGTGGCTTTTGCCTGTTCTTTAGAATTGCAGCAGACAGTGTTTGGTGGCCTGATCCACGCCAGGTGACCTGCAGCTGCATACAGTTCCCTGCAGACTGGCGACTGCTGCCTCTCAGAGAAGGAGCACTGATGCCCTTGGGTGGCTGTCCTCCATAAATGCCCCACCCAGAAGCCCCCTCAGAGGTACTGTCTGCATGACCTCTCAGAGAGCCCTTGGCACAATCCAAAACTGAATAAGAACTTGCCAAATACAGTAGTACATGCTTATAATCCCAGCTGCTCAGGAGGACCACTTGAGCCCAGGCGTTAGAGACCACAGCCTGGGTAATATTTCAAGACCCTGTCTTAAAAAACAAAAAATATTGGAGAAGAATCTGCGTCCAGGTAAGATGCTCAGATACTTGGTAACACCGCCCTAGCTGGGCCACCAAAAGCCCGTAGGAGAAGCTGCAGAGCTCAGGGGCTCCGCTTCTGGCCTCCAGGTGCGTGTAGATTTTCCTCGACCATGCTCCCTGGTCCAGACCTCCTAAGTGCCTTTCTCTCCCCTCCCAGGTGATTGAGAAGAGCCTGAGCGGCTGGTGGTACATTCAGATGGAGGATAAGGAAGGCTGGGCCCCCGCAACCTTCATCGACAAGTACAAGAAGACCAGTAATGCATCAAGACCCAATTTTCTTGCCCCCCTGCCCCATGAAGTGGCCCAGCTCCGGCTGGGGGATGCAGCAGCAACGGAGAACAACACAGGCAGTGATGCCGTGGGCCCCTCCCGGCCCCTGCCTGAGACACCACATGGTGCTGGGGACTCTGGGATGCCATGGGCCAAAGACCGGAAGGGGGGCAAGGAGGCCACAAGAAAGGCATCTGCAGACACCTCTGCGTCCGCGGGCTACGAGGATATTGCAGATGCCAGCCTGGAGGAGAAGCCCAGCCTCCCTCCCCGGAAAGAATCCATCATCAAGTCGGAAGGGGAACTGATGGAGCGGGAGCGCCAGAGGTCAGAGCAGCTGCGGGGCGCCTCGCCCAAGCCTCCTGGGGTGATTTTGCCAATAATTCCCGCCAAGCACAGCCCCCCTGCCCGGGAAGGCCGGAAGCCAGAGCCCAAGCCCGACAAAAGCAAGCTATTCCAACTGAAGAACGACATGGGGCTGGAGTGTGGCCACAAGGTGTTGGCCAAGGAGGTAAAGAAGCCCAACCTCAGGCCCATCTCCAAACCCAAGGCTGAGCCACTGGAGGAGAAGCCAGAAGCCGCTCCCCTGAACCCGTTTTTGAAGTCTAGACCTCAGGTTCGGCCCAAACCAGCTCCTTCCCCCAAGACAGAGGCAGCTCAGGGCGAGGACCCAGTGGATATCTGCAACCTCAGGAGTAAGCTCAGGCCTGCCAAGTCCCAGGACAAGTCTTCATTGGATGGGGAGAGCCAGCAGGCTGCTGGGGGCCAGGATATAGCCTTTAGCCGAAGCTTTCTCCCAGGGGAGGGACCTGGCCGAGCCCAGGACAGGTCTAACAAACAGGATGGGCTCAGCCCAAAGGAGATGTCCTGCAGAGCCCCGCCAAGGCCAACCAAGACCACAGATCCCGGGCCTAAGAATGTGCCTGTGCCTCTCCAAGAGTCCTCCCAACAGAGGCCTGTGGTCCCACCCCGGAGACCACCACCCCCGAAGAAAACCTCCTCGTCATCATTGTCATCCAGGCCCCTCCCAGAGGTCAGAGGGCCACAGCACGGTGCCAATGAAAGCAAGGCAGCTCCCACCCCAGGCCGTGCCCTTCTTGTCCCTCCCAAAGCCAAACCTCTTCTCTCCACCCCCTTGGGCCAAGATGACATGCCAGGCAAAGGTGGGCCAGGGTCACGTGTAGCCACCAAAATGGGAGACAATAGGGAGAAAGCAGCCGCAGTCCTCTTCCCCAAAGCCGATGGCCTGAAGGACTCTTTGTATGTGGCTGTGGCCAACTTTGAGGGAGATGAAGATGCCATCAGCTTCCAGGAAGGAACAATGTTCCAAGTCCGGGAGAAGAACAGCAGTGGCTGGTGGTTCTGCCAGGTCCTCAGTGGGGCCCCTTCCTGGGAAGGCTGGATTCCTTCCAACTACCTCAGGAAGAAGCCGTAGCCTGCCTCCTCCCTGCCTGGGGTCCTGCTGTCCTGCTGGCCTCCCTGCGTATTTAATAGGCATTAACTTATCAGGCTCCATGCAGGTTCAAGAAATGGAGCCCAGAGTGCTGTGGCTGGGATGTCAGGAGCCCGGGGTCCGACCTTCCCCCGCTCAGCAACTCCAGGAGCTCGGAAGCCACAGTTTTCAAGATCGAAATCCATGTCATCACCTGCCTTAAGAGAATTCCTCCTAGCCGGTGGCATTGCCACCCTGCAGCGGGACAGTGACCTTTCAGGCCTCTAGGACTCGAGCCTGGCACCTAGAGAAACTAGACAGGGTCTCTCATTGCTTGGACAGCAAAAGGGACAGCTCACCAACCCATGACGATTTGCTCTAACTGCTCCATGTTCCTAGAAGCAGTGGCTTTATTCACTGTTTTCAAAATGCCTGTCACCAGGAAGAACTGCCCCATACAAGTCACCTCCACTGCAAGTCCCCAGGAAAGTGTCCTGTCTGTCAAGGCCTCCGGTCTTTCAGCTCCTGAGGCTTGACCCCAGAAGCAGTTCCGGAGGACTACTCCGCAACCCTGCCTTCCATCTTCTGCCTTGTGACCATGACCATGACTCTCGTAATGCCGCGGCCCCATCCCTGAGCGTGCTTTGCTTTCCTGCTGCAGACTCCTCTCCATCCAGGGCTTTTAAGCGAGAGTTTCTGACCCCTCTTGGGGCTTCTCATTTCTGTCTACCTAGACCAAGAATCTCTGAGTTTATTTGAACAGGGGACCATTCACAAGGCGCTACCCCTTGCTGAGTAGCTGGTAAGTGCCACACAGTGTACTTGGCACTTTGCATCTGTGTTTTAACCCTCACGACTACCCTGCCAAGAAGAGGAAGGGGGTTTGAGTCCAGACCCACCAACTCCAATGCCTGTGTTCTTCCCCATGCAAGCGGCAAAGTAGTCAGGGAAAAGGTGGAAGTGGGCTGGGTGCCAGGAGCAGGTGGCCAATGGCTTCCTCCTTGTATGAGCGAGGGGGGCCCTCATGGCTGCTCCCTCCCCCCACCCCATCCCACTCAGGGCACTGCAACACATTGAGGCTGCCCTGGGCGCTCTGCTGCTTCTCCAGGGCAGGGGGTACCAGGGTCCTGGTAGTTGGCAGAGCCCTGTCCCCAACTCTTGTTCTGCTGGCCCCCTGAGATGGTGCTTATGGGGCAGAGGGAGCTGAGGGGTCTCCCATTGCAGCCTTGAGGGGCTCCAGTGGCTCAGGGACCAGCATCTGACTCTACCAAACTAAGTGTAGGAAGCAGTGACCCCATAAGGAGACCGGCCTCCGAGGGCCAGGCACACTCCTGGCCCTCACTGCCACGGATTCCTGCTTCCCTCTCGCAGTTGAGGTTGGTTTTCTTTTGGGGGCAGCCCCTCCACACATTTTACAGGTGTGGCTGATTTATTCACCACAGAACTAGAAGCAGAACTCAGTTTCTAGCTCCCAGCCCAGGTCCTGCCTGTGACCCGGCTGCTTGGGGGGCCGGGGGGTGCAGAACCCTTCCCATCCACCCACCGCAATCTCCCCTGCCTGCCCCAAAGATCTCTAGCTCACAGTGCTCATCGGTGCAAACTTTTGGAACCACAAGCCAGCTTTCCCACAGACGCTCACATCTTCCTGCAGTGCCAAAGCTTTTGTGGGAACAGTCCTCTCTGCACCAGCCCTGACACCACCATGTGCACGGGCATTGCCTGCTTCTACAGGAGGAGTTTCCTCTGACTGTGACACCTCTGTCCCTTCCTCCATTGCTCAGCCTGCAGGTCCCATGCCCGAGAGAGTCCTGGGATGAGACCTGAGGCACCTCCTGCAGGCGTGCCTGTCTCTTGCCTGTGCCCAGGAGTTGGGGGAGGCTGACAGTGTGGGGGAGGGGAGCTGGGCGAGGGCTGCCTGCCTCTCAAGGCCTCCACTTGGAGGAGGCCCATAGCATGGTTTTCCCGAGGTTTTGACCCACTTTGGTTTACACAGCTTTGTGAGGCTACTTTGCAGACTTTGACCTCCTTTCAAAAGACAAAACTGGGCTTTTTTCTTTTTCTGACTTGCTTTTGGCTTTCAGTGACCTTTTCAGGTAGGCCAGGGTGTGTAGGCTCTGCCACTGTCTATGAAAAACTGCAAGTTTTGTCTGCAGGCACACTGAAGGAGCGGCGTTTGCCTCCCTCCTCTCTCAGAGGCCGGCGGGGAGAGTGAGCAGGCCCAGGCTTTCTGCAGGCAGAGTGTTTTCCTGCAGATGAAAGTATTTGCCTTTTCTCGTACTGTTATTCTGACGTGAACTGCAGTACGGACGGCACATCCCTCTCTTCACTCTTCTTATAAATGGAGGACTCCTGTGTTGGGGTCCATCTGCCACAGTAGTGGACACACCCCCAGGCAACTGGAAGTGGGGGGGTTTTGATGGCCAGGTACTCTTCTCCCTTCCCTGCCTGGGGACTTAGGTTCACAACACCCAGGACTGTGGCTGCAATCTGGGAATAGTGAGTCTCAGCAGTGGAAAATGCCACGGCCATTGTAGCAGGGCTCAAGCCCTGGGCAGCTCAGAGGCACCAAAGGCACTCCTGCCCTTAACTAGTCCTCACAACAACTGCGTGGGGTGAACAGTGTCACCCCAGTTGTGGTGCAGAGGTGAAGTGAAATGTCCAGCCTCATCCCAGTGGCCACACTGAGACTCTGATCCAGGGTTTCCTTCCTCTTCCGTGACTAGTGCTGCCAGTGGCAGTGAAATGTGCATGGGGCCTGCAGGGGATCGAGTGACCCAGCCTCTGAGTTTAGGTGTCCCCCTCCACCCTGGTCAAACATTTCAGTAGATGACTGGCCAAAGCCAGCCCACAGGACAGACAGGCAAAGGGGTCTCCCCACCCTGCTGACTCCCTGTGATGACCACTTTACCTTACAGTGCACAGCTTGTCCTAGTGCCACCAAATCTTTGGAAAATCTGAATTCAACAACCACCATTTTGGCTTCGCTCAAATTTTTTTGTTCAGAAGCACTCTTTGCCATTTGGTGAGTGTATGTCATTGTCCCAGGCTGAGACCTGGGGAGCTGAGCTCCAGCTAGAACCAGTTTCAATGCCCCTGCCCTCCCAGGAAATTGCTTGAGCCCATGCCAGACCTTCAGTGGTTGTTTTAAGCTTTGCCACAAGGCTGCACCATAAAGTCAATCTGCAGGACGAAATTCCTGGCCTTCCACCATCTCAGAGCTTGCTAGGATTTCCTTACGAGGTGGAGGACACACCTGCCACCTTAAAGGGCAGGTGCTGAGGCTCCCCAGGATGTAGAGAGGACGTTGAGCTGGAGAATGGAAAGCCCAGTGCTTATGCCACATACCCGGCTCTGCGTGGGATGAAGAAGTCACATCTGCCTCCAGTTGCTGGCAACTCGACATCATTGAGAGCACGACTGGGCTGCAGCTCCATGGTACAGTGCTTGCCTCTTGTGAGCAAGGCGCTGGCTTCCATCCCCAGCACTGTAGATGAAAAGAAGCAGGAGCATTTGTGGCATGGCTCCCGTCCTGTCACTGTGTCCTCGTCTCTTACGTGCTGGGTAGGTTCCCTCGCATTCCCTGCCCTTCTCTTTGGGCGCCTAACAGCCTGTGCATTCTTGTACCCTGTGCTGCTGTCCAAACTCATCATCTGGGGCTTTTGTGTAAACTGCGGACAGCCACACCCAACCAGAGACCAAAGAACACCTGATGTCCAAGGACCACGAGGTCTGAGTGGGTGGGGATTGGCTTGCGTTGAGGCCTAAGGGTGCAGGCACCCTGCCTTGGCTGGAGGAACTGCTCCTAACTTGGGTAAGGTTCCAACAGCTGGACTGACCCCAAACAGAGCTGCAGAAGGGAGTCCCACCCTCCTCACCCCCACGCACCTTCTGAGCAGCCTTTCCGTGGGCTAGATCGCCCAGCTCTGAGGGTTGCGATCTGGTGCTATCTTCCAAGGTACCACGCCCCTCGTCAAGTTTAAATATTCCATCCCCAGTCCTCATTTCCATCCTGTACTCCAAAGTCAGCCTTCTTAGCTCCAGTCAGAGACAAGGGGCTCAACTTCTGTCCTTGAAATGACCAGACACAGTGCCATCGCCAGCAGCCTTCACCTTCACATCTTCTGTACATACAAAAAAGCCTGTGCCCCACCAGTCTCGCTGCAGGAACAAGCACTTCAGGTGCAATGAAGGCGCTCACATTCTACCCCAACAGGGTGCCTGTTCATGCCTTTGTGCCCTGCGGTCGTTGTCATGAGAAGGTAAGGTCACTTTAGCCCCAAGCCACATTCCCTGCTCCAGGGAGCCATTTCTTACGTCCCCCAGGAGCAGCGGGCACTGGAGAGCACAGCTCGCCACTGTGTCTGCTCAGCCTCTTGGCAAACTGACAGCACCCAGTGGTGGCTTTTGTTCCTTTTAACACAGAAAACCACGAGTGTAATGTGAGGGGAGGGGAACAACTAGCTGTAGCATGTAGACTATATTCTTTGCCATTAGAATTTTTCTTTTTTTTAATAAAAATGTGCTTGACTGGTTTCAAGCTTCATTGTGAAGATGGAGTGTCTGAGTGTTACTTGAAAAAGGGGTTATACCCTCAGGCCCTGGCAGCTTGGCTGGAGTCTTTGGACTCAGATAAAAACCTATGCAAGCTGTGTTTGGGTTTTGCAGGAAATGGTGACCCTTCGGACTTGGGGCACCTTCAAGGGACCTCCTTTTTCGAGCGTCTCCCACGTGTGCTCGGCTCTGTGCCTAACAATGGAAAGGGTCACGTGTCCAAGGAGTCAAACCTGTTGAGTGGCTGCCCACTGGTGGACAGGAGTGGGCCAGAGGGGTGGGAAGGCGTGCGGTCACAGTTGGGCAGCAGGAACAGCCCAGGCCACCTGCTCCCAAGAAGCAAAGAGCAGAACCAGATGTCTTTCACTTTGCCAAAGGCAGAGCCAAACCGGCTCCCAGTGCGGAGCTGCCCTGGGCTCTGGCGAGTCTTTTTCCTTCTTTTACTGACACACACTATTTGCAGAAAGACATCTTATTATGACACTTCCACACATGCATCCAACGTACCTCAAATTTACTCCCTCTGTCCCTCCCCAGAAAACACCTGCACCCCCATGTTGGTAGCAGTATATT